CTAAACAACAACGCCGGCAAACTCAAAACAAATGAGCCAAAGCCAACATAACATCAACCGCAGAGGGAGTGGGGGTGGCACGTAATGGGCTTCACGTAAGTGCACAATGAAAGGGGAACAACAATGGCAGCAGGCCATTTCCGGTAGGCATGTGTGCGCGCGGCCATCTCCTGGGGTCGCCTGCTCGTGCTCGTCGTGTGTAATTTGTGTGGGTGCAGCAACAGTTTGTTGCTTTGTTTGTATATTTGTCAGGACAACGGCAATGACAACGACAACAGCGACAACGCCAAGCTCATAAATTTTTAATTAAATTGTTTTCTTTTTGTGTGTGCCAGCGACACTGTACAGGAAAACGCACTGATTGCCTGTCTATCTGGCAAAGTGTGCGTCTGTATCTGTGATAGCTTTGCTGTAGATAACACACATACACACATCGTTAGCCTGCTGTGCACTTGCCTCGATTTGTTTGCCGTCTGCCTCGAGGGCAAATTAAGTTGTTTAACCTGCAATCGAAAAGCCCTCGAGGTAGCAAGTAACTCGATCCAGAGAAACCACATTAAATATTTATTATTGACTACACATTGGCCGTAAATAAAGTATCGCTCATTCGAGTACTATGTGATAAAGTATCGTCCATTCGAGTACTATGTGTACTGCAAGCCAAGTATCCCCACCGAACCAATCGATACATGAAAAGCAATATTCGCAGTTGGGGCTTACAGCGTGTGGGCAAAAATATAAACTACTTCTAACTAAATAAAATACTTATGTTTCGTATCAATGTATGTTCCATTTTTTTTTAAAGATTTAGAAAACGCTTAACTTACAGGCTTTAAGCCGCCGTCGAGATACAAACGGGTAATTTATTATTGAGTATCAGGCAATCTACACTGGACAGCCTCGCAGGCTAAATGATATTAAGGCATCTACATAAAATTAAGCGCAAAAACTGAGTACATACCTTGTAAGCCTTATTGAGCTGCCAACGAACTATTTCCGTTTTTCTATATATGCTTCTTCAATTTGTGTAGAATATAAAACGCTTATACATGGGGCATCCGTTTTTATTAGCAGCTTTATTGAAGAATTATATTCCGATCTTCTTTAAATATTTTTTTCCAACGCACAATATCGGAAGATATGCGATCGGCACAGAATTCAACGGAAAGCCCTGCTCCAAAAACATTATAATTTATATTGCTGCTTCTTTTTGCAACATCTTACACGTGATCTGCATTTTATATTTTTATCAAGCACAAAAAAAAAATAAAATTTTGCCACCGTCTACACAAGGCTGCCTAGCAGCTTAAATTGAGGACCATTTATTTATACTGCTGGCTCTTCTTGTTGCCAGTTTACACACATGATCTGCATTTTATATTTTTGTTCAAGCACTAGACAAAATTTTTTTTAATGCCATCTGCACTGGGCCGCAGCGCAACTTCAACTGATACCAAGCTTCGATGCGCAGCCTCTTTTATACTGCTGGCTCTTCTTCTTGCCAGTTTACACACATGATCAGCATTTTATATATTGTTTTTATTTTCAAGCACAAGAACAAAAATTGATAATTTTAATCAACTGCACTGGGCCGCATCGCAACTTCAACTGATACCAAGCTTCGATGCTCAGCCTCTTTTATACTGCTGGCTCTTCTTCTTGCCAGTTTACACACATGATCAGCATTTTATATATTTTTTTTATATTCAAGCACAAGAAAAAAAATTGATAATTTTAATCAAATGCACTGGGCCGCATCGCAACTTCAACTGATACCAAGCTTCGATGCTCAGCCTCTTTTATACTGCTGGCTCTTCTTCTTGCCAGTTTACACACATGATCAGCATTTTATATATTTTTTTTATATTCAAGCACAAGAAAAAAAATTGATAATTTTAATCAAATGCACTGGGCCGCATCGCAACTTCAACTGATACCAAGCTTCGATGCGCAGCCTCTTTTATACTGCTGGCTCTTCTTCTTGCCAGTTTACACAAATGATTAGCATATTTTTATTCAAGCACTAGTAGAACAAATTTACTTTTTAAAGCTATCTACACTGGCCTGCATCGCTACATCAACTGACACCCAGCTTCGACGCGCAGTCTTATTTATACTGCTGGCTCCTCTTCTTGCCAGCTTACACATGATCCGCATTTTATATTTTTATTAAGCACAAAAAAATAAAATTTAATCACCGTCTACACAAGGCTGCCGCGCAGCTTCAGATGAGGCCCAGCTTCAATAGGCTTATTTATACGGCTGGCTCTTCCTCTTGCGAATTTACACATATGATCTGCATTTCATATTTTTATTCAAGCACAAAAAATATTTAACTTTAACATCATCTGCACTGGACCGCCTCGCGACTTCAACTAAAACACAGCTGCAATGAACAGCCTTTTATATACTGCTTGTTCTTCTTCTTGCTAGCACACATGCATGATCTGCAAATATTGAAACACACCATCTATACCGGACCGGCTCGCGACTTCTACTGAAAGTGAGACCCATTTTGCAGCCATTTATATATTGCTTGTTCTTCTTCTTGCTAGCATACATGCATGATCCGCTGATCATATTTTTACACAACACACACGCAACGCACATGACCGGCTCGCCACACAGCTTCAACTAAAAGTCAGCTGCAATGAGCAGCCCTTATATACTGCTTGCTCTTCTTCTTGCGAACATACATACATGCAGTAGAAAAAGGACTGCCTATTGGCTGTGGTTAGAATTGAAGCTGCGAGTATAAAAGCCGATCATACATGTATGTTCGCAAGAAGAAGAGCAAGCTATGCATAAAGGGCTGCCGTAAATGTAACTGTACATGTGCGTAACAAAGATATGAAAATCAGATCATTTACATACATATACTAGCAAGAAGAGCACAAGCAATATATGTATAATGGACTGTTTTAGTTGATGTCGCTAGGCGGACCAGTGCACGTAGTATAATAGTGTGAACGTATGTATGTGCGTAGCATGATTATTCATGTATGCTTGCAAGAAGAAGAGCAAACAGTATAAAAAGGCGATTTATTGCAGCTGTAATTTAGTTTTCGATGCAGTAGTGATCAGATTATCTATGTTAGCTATTATAAAAAAAATAGGAGAGTAAATGAGGCTTCTATCAATTTCAATAATATTACAAAAATGCAAATTATAATTATTGCTTTACACTATCCAGTTAACCATCAAACATATAGCTTAGCTTACGATATCTATGTAATATATCTTATGTAATGAAGGCTTGTATACCACTATTCCGTGCACCATCGATCGGTTTGACACTCATTTTCAAAAATGTATGTTTAAATACATCGTATAATTCATCTATCCTTGGTGGAAAGGGAGTCAAAACAAGCTAGTTTTACCTTCAGATCACAGAACCCTGATACCAGCTTTTAGTTCTTAATTTTTTGAAATTTAATGGACTTCAAAACTTGATGTAAAATATACCTAGAGACGAAGGATTCAACATTTACGACTAGCTTTTGATGCTGAAAATTAGATGTTTAAAACTAAGACAGGGAAACACCAGCTAGCATTATATATATTTGTATGCATATCAAATTTGTAATTCGTTCTGTATCTTTTTCGTTCTTTTACAAAATTGGTATTTAGCTTGTTAAAGAATACAACAATGAGCCGTAAATAATTATATTACTATAGTCTAACCAAAATTGCATAACCAACTCTATTTCCTCCCTATATAATGGTTTCGTTCGACACGACATTAGTTAGTTCTTCAATAATGGTTAAGGTCTATCGTCCAGTTTTAGTGCAGTTAGCACTCATCGTGTTCTTTGTGGGGCTGACGTTCGGATTCATGAGAGAACTACAGAATGAATACCCCTCCGACAATTTTATCATATCGCCATTTCTGTTAGCCGAAGGATTATCACTTTTATATTTGGGTGCCCATGGCGAGAGCGCCAACGAACTTAAAAGTGTCATACCCAAATTTCTCGCAAATAAAGAGACGGATATAGATGCGTATTTGTCCGAGGATCGAGGCGCATTGAAGTCATCTGAGGAAGGAATATTGAGATTCGGTAATCGCCTTTATGTGACAAATGATATGGACATCTTAATTAAATATGAGAAAAAGATAAAGAAAGTATTTAACACTAATGTTAATCGGGTTGACTTTAGCGACCCCAAAAGTGTTAACGTGATCAATCGCTGGGTAGCCCAAATAACTAATAACAAAATCACAAAACTAATTGACAAATTTAACGGAAATGAGAAAATTATACTTGCTAGCGCGATTCACTTTAATGGATTATGGCAATTTCCATTCGATGAGACTCTTACAGAGAAGGCTCCCTTCTATGTACCAAAGGAAGGAGAAACCACGAAAGTTGTTAAGGTTGACATGATGAACAGAGTTAGTTTCTTTTTGCGAAAATTCGTTAAGGAACTAGATGCTGATGCCATATCATTGCCATATGCCAACTCAAATATTACGATGGTTGTTCTTCTGCCCAGAACTATGGATGGCATAGGCAAACTTCTCGATCACCTCTCGGAAGTGAATATAAACGATATATTACGGACGAGCGAACTTAACCGATTACACCTGCATTTACCGAAATTCCAATTCGAATTTAAGATCACTCTAAATGATATACTGAAAAGCATCGGCCTAAGCAATATATTTAATGAAGCCAATTTAAAATTAATGACTGACTTTAAAAGTCAATTAAAAGTTGCTGAAATAGTTCAAAAGAGTGTTATAACGGTTGATGAAAGGGGTACAAAAGCAGCAGCTGCTCAAGGTTTGAGTTTTAGAACATACAAATTTTTAAATACTTAAAAAACTTAATTATTTCAGAAATAAGTGCGGCTTTAAGGGGATTTCTGGAGCACCTAGAGTTCAATCATCCGTTTGTATTTTATATTATTGACGAAGAGAGAATTTACTTTGTCGGACAAGTTCGCAATCCTCTACTTAAATAAAAGAATCGAAAATTCCTAAAACACATTGGCCATTCTAAATCATTGTACTCTTTAATTCAATTCAATCAACATTCAAATATATCAGACGATATATAAATTAAACTGCTGTTTTAAAAGCTTCTGCGATGGGCCGCATGGCATCTTCAACTGACAACCTTCCCTTTTTATTCTAATGGCTCTTCTTCTTGCTGGCTTTCACACATGATCTGCAATTTAAATTTGTATTTAAGAATAAGAAAAGAATTTCCATTTTAATACCATATGCACTGGACTGCCTCGCGACTTCAACTAAAACACAGCTGCAATGAACAGCCCATTATATATGGCTTGTTCTTCTTCTTGCTAGCATACATGCATGATCTGCATTTTATGTTGAACGTCGAACCACACCATCTGTACCGGACCAGTTCGCGACTTCTACTGAAAGTGAGCCCCATTTTGCAGCCATATATATACTGCTTGTTCTTCTTCTTGCATGATCTGCTTACCATATTTTTATACATACACACACGCAACGCACATGACCGGCTCGCCACACAGCTTCAACTAAAAGTCAGCTGCAATGAGCAGCCCTTATATACTGCTTGCTCTTCTTCTTGCGAACATACAAGCAGTAGAAAAAGGACTGCCTATTGGCTGTGGTTTTAGTTGAAGCTGCGAGTATAAAAGCCGATCATACATGTATGTTCGCAAGAAGAAGATCAAGCAGCATATAAAGGGCCGCACATTGCAACTGCGTCGGAACAATGCAGATTATGTAATAAGTGTGGGTGTGCATGTGTTTTTGTATAAAAATATGAAATTCTGATCATGCACGTATGCTCGCAAGAAGAAGAGCAGCAGTATAAAATATAATTTAGTTTTAGATGCACGATGATGGTGATTTAAAATATAATTTTGGATGCAATAGTGATCAGATTATCTAACTTAACTATCCAAAAAAAAAAAAAACAGTAGGGTAAATGAAGCTTCTACCAATTTTAATAATATTAAACAAATTAAAATTTTAAATATTTCTTTTTCGGGTTCAAATTGGTTTTTTTCTTTCTTATAAGCGATTCATTTAATCTATCGATTAAATAAACCAATTGGAAGTCCATTTGCAACTGCTCGGGATAAGGTTGTTTAGTTTGTTAGCCCACGAGCTCCAACGCAGCTGTCAAAGGAACTAATTGATCACAACTCCTGATATATGTGTAAGTTGTTGATGTATGGGCCAGAAGAGAACACACTCCACATTGTAACCGCTTTGCATCTAAGTGTGTGGGCGTGTGCCATGTGCTGACGCCCATGCTGTGCGCTTTGATTGCCACGTGCGTTCAACTTGGCCAGAATGTGGGTGGCTCAGGCAATAGCCAGGGGTAGCAGGTGCGTAACTGTGTCCAGTAATCGGGGTCGTATGATAAATGATACCGCCCGGCAATTGCGGTCAAACAGGGAGGCCGCTCTCAAAAAAACTAAAATTAACATAATTTACCTTTATAATTGTATGAGCTAAGAACGCCTCGATGTTGGTTGTGTTTGTGCTGTGTGTTGCTAGTAGCTGGTTGCTGCTGGGTAATTTTGCATGCAAATAACTGGAAATTAGTGTAAGTGCTCACTGACATGCCACACCGTGGGCGATCAGACGGCCAACTGGCAACGCGCAGCAGGCGACTAGCACCTCACCTACTCCAGCTCCAGCTCCATGGTGAGCAGCAGCGACAAAGATAAACAGACAGACTATGGCAAAATAAAGTGGCAAGCGCTTAGGCTAAAGTTCCATGTGTGAGCGTGTGTGTGTGCGTATCCTGTATAAAATGTGTGCGCATTAGGTAAGAGAACATATATGTTAGCTGCATCTCTGGCTGCTGTTGAGAGCTTCATAAAACCCATTAAAATGCAATAAGCGCATAAAACGTTTTAACCATGAGCGTGAGCGACTGAGCTCACATTTAAAATGTTGTAGGGGCTTGTGGATAAAACATATTTTTCTATACACATACATATGTATCTCGCCCGCATTACTTTAACTTAACGTGTAGCCAATAAATACCTATCATGAATATTTACGTATATCTTCAATATATTACTTTTCACAATGAATCGTTTGGGTAATCAATATACTAGCTAGTGCTACCTAGTGCTTATCACTAGCTGACTGAATTGAAAGTTTTACCATAGTTATCTAATGTATTGAAGGTTGACGCCAAGACGGATTTTTGGGAACGTTATACAACTATTCTGTTTTCCATCCGATAGGTTTTAAGCTCATTTCAAAAATGTATGTTTAAATACATTTTATAGATATTTCACGCTTTTTGTATAATCCATCTGCTCTTGGTGGAAATGAGAGTCAAAAGATTGAAGGAAAGAAACTGTGAAAGAACTTTTGTGGCTTCTAGCTTCACATCACAGAAGCCTGGTACCAACTTTTGCTTCTTAATTTAATAGAATTCAAAAATCGATGTAAATCATATGAAATATATAATGGACGTAGGATTCAGACTTTACGCCTAGCTTTTGATGTTGAAAATTAAGAGTTAAAAACTAGCTTTATATATGTATATATTATATGCATATGCAATTTGTAATTCGTTCTGTATCTTTTTCGTTCTTTTACACAATTAGTATTTTGGTTGTTGAATAATACAACAATGAGCCGTAAATAATTATATTACAAGGATTGCGTAACCAACTCTATTTCCTCCCAATATAATGGTTTCGTTCGACACGACATTAGTTAGTTCTTCAATAATGGTTAAGGTCTATCGTCCAGTTTTAGTGCAGTTAGCACTGATCGTGTTCTTTGTGGGGCAGACGTTCGGATTCATGAGAGAACTACAGAATGAATACCCCTCCGACAATTTTATCATATCGCCATTTCTGTTAGCCGAAGGATTATCACTTTTATATTTGGGTGCCCAAGGCGAGAGCGCCAACGAACTTAAAAGTGTCATACCCAAATTTCTCGCAAATAAAGAGACGGATATAGATGCGTATTTGTCCGAGGATCGAGGCATATTGAAGTCATCTGAGGATGAAACATTGCAATTCGGTAATCGGCTTTTTGTGACAAATGAAATGGACATTTTATCTGACTATGAAAAAAAGATAAAGAAAACTTTCAAAACTTGTGTTAATCGAGTTGACTTTAGCAACCCCAAAAATGTTAACGTGATCAATCGCTGGGTAGCCCAACAAACTGAAAACAAAATCACTAAACTAATTGAGAAACTTAACGGAGATGAGAAACTGATACTTGCTAGCGCGATTCACTTTAATGGATTATGGCAATTTCCATTCGATGAGACTCTTACGGAGAAGGTACCCTTCTATGTACCAAAGGACGGAAAAACCACAAAAACTGTGAAGGTTGACATGATGAACAGAGTTAGTTTCTTTTTGCGAAAATTCGTTAAGGAACTAGATGCTGATGCCATTTCATTGCCATATGCCAACTCAAATATTACGATGGTTGTTCTTCTGCCCAGAACTATGGATGGCATAGGCAAACTTCTCGATCACCTCTCGGAAGTGAATATCAACGATATATTACGGGAGAGCGAACTTAACCGATTACACCTGCATTTACCAAAATTCCAATTCGAATTTACCATCACTCTAAATGATATGCTGAAAAGCATCGGCTTGAACGAAATATTTACAGAAGCTAATTTAAAATTAATGACTGACTATGAAAGTAAATTAAAAGTTGCTGAAATAGTTCAAAAGAGTGTTATAACGGTTGATGAAAAGGGTACTACACCAGCAGCTGGCAAAGGTTTGCATTTTAAAAAGTTAATTATTTTAGTTATTTAAGAAATTTTAATATTTCAGAATCGGATAAAAGGGGGCGACTGGAGCACCTGGAAGTCAATCATCCATTTGTGTTTTATATAATTGACGAAGAGAGAATTTACTTTGTAGGACAAGTTCGCAATCCTCTGCTTAAATGAAAGAAACGAAAATAACTTGTCTCATTTCTCTTCTTCATAAATTGTATATATCAATAAAAATGCAAATTTATTGACGAATGATTTATATAAAGCTAATTAAATTATGATGCCTTGATTGGGATAAAAAATATATGATATTTGGGTAATTGTAAGCTAGATAATGTTATTTCATTTTCGATTCTTAAGATTATTTAAATCGCACATTTTCACGCTAGAGTTTGTTTTCCCATTTTATTTTTTTTTCTAGTTTTTGCCTTTTACAATGCATAAAACATGCAAATTGCAATTGCAAACTAGAAATTAAACTTGCCAAATAATTATCCTGGCTAACCGCTGTTACCACAACAAGTTTGCCTGCACACGTGTGGCCTGAAACTGCGCTGCAAAAAGCTAATTAAATTAATTAAAAATTCACACGGAGCGATAGAAGACGAGGCAGCAGCAGGGCAAAGGGCGAAGGCATACGTGGCGTATGCGCAACGTCATGACTGTGACGAATGGCGCCAACTAAAAGCCAAACGAGAGACAAGCAAAATTTGCTTATGCTCGCGCCATTAGCAAAATGAATTGGGGCATGCGTAAGGGGCGTGGCCGGGGCTGAGCGCCACAAATTGGCCGATTCCCGAGCGGCATTGTTTACAGCGTTGCCACGCATATTAATTGCCTGTTTAAGCAAATTAAGGCCACAAAACAGCAGCACTTTTTCCCTTTGAACTTCTTTTTGCCATTTATGCTCCTGCTGCCTTTCGCTCTTATACACAATTAATCTGCAGTGCAACGCTGACAACTGCAATTGCATAAATAATGAAGAGCCAAACGGATGAGTGTTGGCTTAAACCGCAAACAAATTGACAAAGCTGCACAGCAGCTGTCCAAGAGCCTGTCGTTGCTAATTGCCGTAGCAGAAAATATCAACCGGACCATTTGCAAAAGGATTACGGAAAACTTCAATGCCTGGAAAAAAATGAAAAGCTCCAAATACTTTGTGGTAAACGTTGAATACCCTTTCACAGAAATGTTAGCCTTTGCTTTAAGCTGATATATTTATTATATTTATTTTAATATATTTATCCAAATTTTTAAATTTAATTTCATTCAAATTAAAAGCTCTCTCAAGGCCCCAGCCTGTGCTGCCTTATTGCAAATAGCTCTTTATATGATGCTGCAGTTTTTATGGGTTAAGATATAAACCGAATGGCTTCAGCTTTATGCATAGAGCTGTCAGCCGTGTCCATGTCCCGCTCTGGAGGATGGGCTGGCTATGTCAGGACCATGTAACCGACATTGTAATATACAGCAGACTGCCGGGCGTCTGTGGCATGCATGGGCATTCATACTGATTCTGACACTCGCTTCCAAGTATGCGCAAATTAAATTTAACAAAAGTGGGCGGGGAAATTGAGTCGAAATTAAAATGTTGGGCAGCAAGCGACCACAAAAAATGTTATTTTCAATTAACGTAAGGCGAGGAATGTTACACTTAAAGTGTTGGTTGCCACATGCCTTAAATTGAAAATAAAAACAGATGCCCAAGGACACAAACACACAATCTGAACACAAATACAAATGGAAAGTCAAACATCTTCGAAGCGGCAACCTTGATGAGTCGAAATGAAAACAATTAAAAGTGGCAGATAGATTTTCGACGTGTTGGGGTGTGGCAAGTAGCAATCGAACTTTTTGCGCAAAAGTTAAACTCACGTAATTGAATTGAATGCCAAAAGATGTTCGGGATGTTGGCAAAGCGCAGTCAAGTGCAAGACGCAGTTTATATTCTTGCTTTGCTCAACAATATGCCAAATTGATTGTGTCTGTTCGTGTTCCAATGTATGAGTGGGGCGTGTGTGTGGTGTGGAAACAATGCTTAGATTATGACCTGGTTACCACGCCATATTAGCGTGTCAAAACGACATCAACTTAAATCAACTTTCGGTCATTGTTTGTGCCATTGTTCTATAGACATGGCATAAAACGATAACAACAACTAAAACGCCAAAAGCTAAAGTCAAATGTCTTTGGACAGTTGCACTGGGTAACTGGTGGAGCGGTATTTTCGGAATCTCCTTGGTTATAACAAAGACCCTCCAGGCAATAGCAACATCAGGCAAGCGAGTTTTCTCCAAAAAAAAAGTTGTGTAAGTTTTGTAACTTGACATTGAGTTCATTTTAACTTAGTTGAGAATCACAGAGAAGGACGGCTTGGCATTTTTAAAAGTTTAATTAACCTTCATAAATATATAATTCCTGTATATATACTAATTTAAGAGTTATCTGACATAAAGTGATTGGATTAATGAGATATATTTGTAAAGCAGTCGAAAATGTGTTCATATAGTCAGAGTGCCAACTAATCGGATTTTTATTCTTCAAGTGTTTTGTTTTCGTTTCCTTGCAAGTTGTAGAACAAATTATTCCAGTAAATTGTATTTCTCCATATGGAAAATTCTATCCAACGAGCGAAAAATGGAACTCATGTTAGCGACATTATGTTTTTCGTTCAATCGACCTTAAGCTATTTTTCAAACATATAAAATTTAATTTAAACTTATTTCACCGCTACCGGGAATTTTATTTTCGATTAATGCACAAGTAGTCTAACAGTTACCTCTACTGCAACATAAATTAATGAAAAGGGAAGATTTCAATTGTTCCATGAATGAGAAATGAGTATAAATAAATTATTCTTATTTATCTGTTGTATGTATGTGGGTTTGTGTGCGTGTTTATGAAAAAATTACCTATTCTACGATATAAATTAATAAGAAAAGTATTTTTGTGTACCCTACCCTACTTCTATACGATTCTCATGAATTTAAATAAGACATACTGGTTTCCATGACTCTTATGCATGTGTGCATATGTTTTCTCATATAACCATATATATGTATCTTCCGCTAACCTGTTCTTTACTTCTTTTATTATTTCAGTGATCCTAACATATTAAATTATTTTACATCCCTCTTGTAAAATGGCGATGAAACAATCGTACGTGTGGATGTGAATTTCCGGGTAAGTACATATTTGCCCAAATATATTTATTTATAAACAAGAATATAAATTAAGGCACGCTGGTCACCAACCATCTTCTATTTAGGAAATATGTTTTTAATATTCACACAAATTTCACATAACATTTAATATTATGTCTATAGATATTTTCGTTGTTACCCTCGCTAACTGTTGACAGCCTGGCTAAAATTTGGCCTTTGTTTTTATTATTAGTTCTTCGCACGAGACTGTGAACTGACGTCTGGCCCCAGTCCCGCCTTGATCGCACGTAGTCGTGGCGACTTTAACACGTTCACAGTTGGCTTGTTAAGATAAGGGCAAGAGGGGCTAGCGATACGATAGGGTTGTCAACGACCAAAGCGAACTGCGATCCGCGACGCTAGTTTATATAATGGGTAGAATAATAAATTTAATATGCTTGTTAAAAGCACTCAGCGTCGACTATTGATAAACCGGAAGGCAATCCGTCGGGAAAGGCAAACCCTTTACCCTTTGCAGGGCCTATATGTTTTGTTCTGCATTATCAATTAAAAGCCAATTTATCGCATTTTGCATGCAAGAAGAACAAGTTGTAAACCCTAAAATCGACAACGACCAACTTGTCTGGCAACAGGCAGTACTCGTTGTTGTTGTTGTTGCGGGCATAAGTTTTTGGCAGGGCGCAAAAGTCGCCTCGTGCCACGCATAGAAATTGAGTTGCCCCCAATTCAAAGCATTGCTGTTATTGTGTTGGCCACAAAATGGTTGGCACACAACAACACTTAAGTTTAAGTGACTACTCGAGACTTTTTGAGAGCGCACACAATGGTGGCAGCAGCAGCAACTGAACTGAGGCTGTGGCAGCGGGGCAAAGGCGGCGTGAGAGTCGCCAAACTGCGTGACCGGAAAGTGTTTGGCGTTTCCGGTTGACGCAGCCACCAACGAATGAGTTGCGGCGCTGCCAACAACAGCGGCCACACCGAACGGAAGCTAACCGCGTGGACAACAGCAACAACAAAAACTACCAGCTGCCACAAATGCTGCACGTGTTTGTGCCACAGGAAATTCGAATAAAAAGAGCTGAATGCGACACAATAATACCCTGACCCTGCGCAAAATCGTATTAAGCATAACCTTCTATTCTGTATTTTTTTATACTTAAGTTTTTCAAGTTCAAATTCGCTTGAAGTAATGAAGCATAACTAATTCAATTATATTACAAAAAAAGAAAAGAATGAATGCATATTGAATTTGTCAAACTTTTACTTATAATGAAATCATAGCACACTTTTTGGGGGTTTCCTTATGAAAAATTCGTCTCAACTTTCGTTTTAGTACCCAAGCAGTGCTGACTTCGTCATATTAATCTTAACTAATGTCAACAAATTGTTTAAATATATAAAAAAAAAAGCTCCTTAGAGACATAGCAAAATCACGCTTGGCGTTCAAAGAAATTATGTTTTTTTCTTTTGCAGGCAAAATCTACAAATTTATTTCTTGCTCTTGTTATAATATTTAGTCAGCTCGCTTATGAGAACACAGAAAAACTCAACTTTATGACGCATAAGGCAGACGATGAGGTAGGGAACGAAATTTGGGACAAAACAAAGAGTTATTCTGAGTGAAAATTTGCCACGTTTTCGTGGGTTTTCCTTTAGAATCGCATTCTGACCAAGTGAAACTCGATGCCAACGAATGTCACGTTTTGGTCATAAAATGTGTTAAAATGTTAATACAGGACAACACACAGTAACAACAGAAAATTACAACAACAATAGCCGCAGAAGCCCTAAAAATGAAAGAAACCCACAAAAACCCTCAAACGGGTCAATTGGTTGCCTTTATTTTAAGCTAGTCCGTGACGACGATGCCATTCCCCGTTTGGCATGCAAATTTCAAGCCGGTAAAATATGCTTTTATATTGAATTTATACTTACTTGTAAGAGAAAGCTCTTCCATAAGGTAAACGTGCAAAAAAACAAAAAGGTAGCCAATGGCCAGGCGAAAAAAAAAGTTAAGTTAATTGCTTTTGCATAAAGCGCCCCTCAGAAAACAGCTGCGCCATTTGCCTGTCGAGCGCGGACCGAAGAAAGCGAGTGAAAGCAAAAAGGTGGGCGAAAAAAAAGAAAAGAAAAATGTGAAACGAAGAAAATGGAAACTGTGCTTCTGAGGCTGCCAGCTGAATTGGTGCTCAATTGTGCGGAAAAAATATTTCCATTGGCGCGGCCCGCGTAAGAGATGAAATACACTAACTGGCTGGCAGGTGAAGTCCTTGCAAAGTGCCTTCTAATAAACGCATGCAAGTGAGATGCTCTTTGAGAGTTTTGCTCAAAGCGTACCAGATTTAAGCAAACCAACCAGATTTAAGCTGACCTTTTTGTGAAAGCAGACAATTTTTTAAATTTACGGAAAACTTCTAGCAGCATTTACTGATTTGTTCAAGTTTCGCATGAAGCACGAGTTATGCCGACTCACTGTAATTAGACACTTGTTAACGTCTCGTCCTTTGTTATTTAAAATTGAAGACAAAAATTGATTGATTGACAAATAGATTGAAAATGTTTATTATCAAGAATATCACTGAATTTAAATAAAACGAGAAAGTAAGGATATTTTCGGCACGCCGTAAATTTAATACCTTTGTACACATATTCCTTTGCAAATTCTTATAAGTAAATACTTGTCTAAACCAGGCGAAAATGTCCAGAGATGAAAAGCAAAAAGCTTAAGCCCGATGATTGCACTTAGTTAAGATTAGACAAGACTCTCGCAGCCATCGACAAACTGCTTTTTAACCGACCACGTTAATCACAGGCTAATCTTTAAGCTGTTGCTGACAGAATGAGAAAAGATGAAAGCATAACAGGTAAACAGGTAAACTTAAGTGCTTTTAAAATGCCTCAGCAAATGAGCGGTTTTCCATTGGACATTTTACAAATGTATGAGATTCTTAACGCTTGTTTTTTAAGGGATTAAAGAGCTTAAAGGGTGTTGGACCAATTTGTTGTTTGGGTCTTCAGTCAATCCCCGGTAACAAATTAGGGGTTGGGTGGGTGGGCTTATGCTTACTGATAGATGTCAATTGGGAGCCCTTAGACTAGGCAAACAATACTCCTGGGTCAACGTCCGATTTGATTAGCTTAACCCAACTTAATTTGATAAATTAGGGTAGGAGCAGCACAGCCAACTGAATCCCAGAGGAGAAGTTAATAGCTGCCTTAAATTCTGTTGGTTCAGGGCACGCATTCACAGAACTTTGCAAAATAATATCATGCAAGTATATATGTATACCGTACAGTAAACACAGCGTCTTCACGAACAAAGACTTTGGCTGCCCGCAAAAGTATGCAACAATAATTTACACACGAAAACGCAATGCGCCATTTAATAGACAAATAAGCATGAAGTGCTGGAATAGCAAATTCCCTGTAGAACGTTTGAATCAATAAACTTTACAGCTATAACTAATTGTAAATTATTAATCGAATAGTTATTTTTACTTGGTTTTACTTGTCAACCTAATAATTTAATTAGTTATTTATAGACAGTTACAATAACATTATTGTTTAATTAATTTAAGAAAAATTAGACGCAAAATCCGACATTAAAATTGTTCACTTATACAGGCTGAATATACCCTAATTGTCGCCAGCACAGAGGGTATATAAAGCACATTGTTCGCCACACGGGCTACATAAATAATTTACTTTAACACGTGTGTGTCTGCGCCTGTGTGTGCGTGAGCAGATATATATTTGTTGTGGGCACTTTGACTAAATGGCGTGTAATAAAATTTCAATTGCTTTGTCTGGTTGGCATTGTTTGAGTTTTTCATAGAGCAGTGCAATCGCCCGGAGCCTTATCACGTGTGGCCATTCAATTAGGAAAAGGCCAGCCAAGCGGTCAGAGGGAAATCGAGCGCCAAATGTCCTTGCCCGCATGCTAATTATGCATAATTGCTGCTTATTAAATATAATTTGGGGAATCCGACAGACAAGGACGACGCCCGGGTCGCTTAGCTTTCAATATCGTACAGAGGCGGGCAGGAGTAGCAGGATTCCATGCTAGTGGCAACGGCATTATTGCGATGTCCTTGCATTCACACAAACACACTCACACGTGCTTTCTATGGCCCTGACCTTTGACATTAGCAAACTGGGAGCTGAAACCAGAACTGAATCGGCATCGGCCAGCAAATTTGCTTATAATTCAAAAACATGCCGAAAAAAAGAATACAAATACATAAAACTAAAACAAACACTAAAAAAGATGTATAACGAGCGGCAAGAAACAAAAAAAAAACACGTTAAGCAAACACGATAACGATACTATATGCATGTTTAGATAGATATATATGTGTCTGTGTGTCTGTGCGCAACAAGGACAGCATGGACAACAAGGACAACAGGCGACAAGGCGTGCACACACAACAAGGAGCACAAGAAATTTATTTCAATTTAAAAATATTCGTCACGCGCAACACAAAAAGCGAGTTAACAGCTCGCCCAAGCACCCCTTCTCTACCCTGGCTGGGGGCGTGGCCATTTGTATAATTGCCGAGCTTAAGAGCAGGCGAGTCGAGAGAGACAACAACTGGCTGGATCAGACGAGCAAGGAGCCCAAGTTTGGCCCGTTCAGTTTAGTTTATGCCATGACACGCTCCAAGGACGCGACGCTAAAAGAAATGGACATTATCGTGACAGGCATTGGACTAAAAAGTTTATGGCGCTGGCTGCGAAGCTGCCGTAATTGAAAGAATACCCACGATTTATGACTGGATATCAATGATATGCCGGGCAGGGCCACTCACAGCAACTCCTGCAACCGAATCCTTGACCATGGCACTGTGAGCGCTTGTTGACATCGATTGACATGGCGCAGAACAATGGCCAACCGGGCGGCACACAACAATGAAGAATCAAGTCCGACTTCGGAAAACTTTGAATAAAACGCACGCAAAAACGTGCAGGTTTTTATATATCCTGGGTTTGAGGTCGTGGCTGAGGTTGAGGGTACCACGGATTGTCCTTCAATCGGCATGGAATGCAACAAACACGGGGCCAACGCAGGTGAAACTACTCGCCTGTTGTGTGGGAACTGTCAACTTGGTTTTTTGTGGCTATTGCTACTTTTTGTAGACAATGTACAGGGCGGTTAGTCAACTAGCCGCAGGTGGACAAGAATTTGTTATATTTTTCGTATACCCTTGGAGATTCGTATACCCCAAAATGTTGTCGCGATTTTGGTTAAACTTCTCCTCAGGACGATAAACTAGCTTACTTCAGAGAGCTGAATAGGTCATCTATGCGATTCTCATGATCTCAAACATAATTAAGAAAAAAATTGATGTTATGTTTAGCATTAAGTGTTTATCTAATATGTCTTTGACTGTCTGGGTACCTCTGTCTCACTTTCTCTATACCTTTCCTTTAACCCATTTAACATTTCTTGCTCACTCTCGCCTTTCTACGCGATTTTCATGAAATGAAAAAATGAAAGGGAAATTTTTTTTGTATTACATAACTTGAGCAAAAATAAAATTTTAATATGTATAAAGCCTTGTTAAACTTATAAGGAATATCTTCCAGTCAAGCACTTTTCACTAGATTAGTCTTGCTTGGCTTTTAAGTTTTTTTCTGTATTAACTTTGTTTTATTTTTTATTTATGAACACACAACTTTTTCTAACTTTAAATGGAAAAGAAAAGACTTTTTAAATTTTAATGAAATAATAATAAAATGTAAAGCTATTAGAATTGATAGCTAGCCTTGGTTTCTGCTTCAGCGGCTGTTTAAGTTAACCAGACCTTCTGTTTCTATAAAGGGCCATTTCCAATAACAGTGCATTACTGCTTCCGACCCGAAGGCCGGTGCCTACGCAATTGCCAACTAATTATGAGCATCAAGTTCGAACTCGAGCACTAACTAGGCCAATCGAAGGCAAAGCTCTGACCAAATCCAATAAACCAGACGCAGCAGGATCTATGAAGACGCATCTGGGGCTGCAATTGCTGATTTATTTTTTCTGGAATCGTCGAAGCGTTCATCCATGTGGTAGATGCGCAGAGTTTGCCCTTCAACTTGACCAACAGCTGGCTGGCTGGCTGGTTGGCTAGCTTTTCTGGCTGGGATGGGATGGGGCGGTACACTATGGTCTATGGTCGTGCGCTTGCATGTTGTTTCAGTCGAATGTCCTTGCCGTACACTAATCGTCGCCATTCTCCATTCTCCATTGTCCTTGTCATGTGTTAATGTGCGCCAGCCAAGGCGCGTTGCCTGCTCCAACAAATGACGCAGTTGACGAGCTCCTTTCTATTTATGCCCTTTGGTAGCTTGCTAAAATCGAATAAAACATGCGAAATGTTTGTTTGTATGCGGCGAGTAATTGAAATGTTGAATGTATTCCGTGTGTGCATGTGCATTCCCCTTTCAAAGGCATGATGCATCTCCTGGGAGACAACATGATGCGACCGAATGACGATGACTCTCTTGCTTGCTTGACGCTCAACCCATTCTATTTCTTTCTATTTTTCTTTTCTCTTTCAGAATTTATGCCTCTGCAGTTTTCCATCGATTTTCATCTTGCGCCAACAACAGACTGGGGATGAAAAGCCAAACATATAAAACGGATTTGATATTCAAAAAATATGCAGGTAAATTTGTATACAGCAATTGCCTTGAATTTTGCAATAAGTTTTTATTTTTAAGGTTTCATTTTAGAAACTTGGTTAATATTTAAGCTTTATTTTAAATTTTACATACTTCATCTAATTTATTTCAGTGCAGTTTGAACTGTAAACTGTGTGTTTTTAGGGCTCATTTACCATAAACCGCAAAAGGCAGTGCGTAATTGTGTATCATATTGCAGCGAGCTTCACTTATTTTCAGAACTTTATAATTATGCAGTTTTTATAAATAACTAGCTGCCATGCAGAGCTGCAAGTGGTCAGGATACGGAGGAGCCGTCAACAATTTGCATGTTGCGGCAACTCGCGCTCGAGTGCTTAATTAATTAGTTTTATTTTAAGTGCTACATTATATTTAAGGATAATATTACATTTAAGGGAATAACTGGCGAAACATTTATATGTGAATATATACTATATTTAATATATATAATATATACTAATATTTAAAGCTGCAATGTAGCTATTCTTTTAGACAATTTCCATTCATATGCAAAATTACGGAAACCTAATCTCAGTTTCAATGAATTATTATGCATTCCTTTAAATCTTTTAAAATACAACAAAAAATTAAATAAAACGAAAGGATGACTCTTCTTTATCTGCAACCCTAATGTGGCTGATGGATTTAAAACCCATCATTTAAAAAGTTGCAATGCTTTTCCCAGCTTTTCGTTAGCCTTGCCGCAGTAGACGGGCGCACAGATGCAGCCCAACAACACACATAAATTGCAATAAGAAGTCGCACAAACACAAAGCTTCCTTTAAATTGAAAATAATAACACACAGCGACAACAGAATGGGCGAAATCCCAAATGGAAAAGCGCCGACAGGTGTTTCACATAAATAAATACTTGTATATGTATGTGCATGTCAGAGTCTCGCATTGGGCACGGGGCAAACACAAATATTTATTGGCCACGGACAAAAATGCATCCTGGTTTGTTCAACACGCACAACAGCAACACACACACACAAACACAAAATGTGTTCAGTTGAAAATTGGCAACAGAAGGCAGTTCTACTTAAAACTGTTATAACACATCATGATAACAACTCGTGCTAACTTGTCGTGATAACTTATCGTGATATGTCAAAAAGTTTGCTTTAAAATTGGTCACGAAACTTTTTCATCGGGTCCTTAACTGAACAGTCAGAATTAAGTGAATTTATTAATATAATAAGCATGAAATTAAATTATTAATAATTAAAAATCCAAAATTTAATAAGTTTGGTTTTTATATCAAAACTGTGTTTAATACTAACTATAAATGTTTTTCTAGTAATATCAAAAATTAAATTAAAAGCATTTTTCTTTTAAATAAACCCGGAACTCGACCCAGCTTAATATAAATGTTAAATTACTAAAGGCCCTTTGGTTAGGATATATTTGTTGAAATTTTGTTATAAGCATGAAATGTTTAATTAAAAAAATTAATTAGGAAAATTTATTCTAATAGCTTTCCGTTGTTTATTGTCCGATAATTTTAAAACTTTTAGAGCATAACGATATTAGATATGATTAACTGACAATCGATAATTATCGATACTTATAGATTCACGCAAAAAATGACAGCTGCCTATATTCACACTCAATACATTTAATATTTAAACACACGCTAAAAAACATTTGTTAAATCGATTTCTGTTTGTTTATTTTGGTTATAGTAACAAGATCTGAAAGAAATATCGACTCACCTCTGTTAATCGATTTCGGTTTGTTTATCTTTCTGTTGCAGAAACAAGAAAAAAGGCGCGAACTGCGCCTAAAGCGATTCTGGCGCTCGCCAAAAACAACATCCTCGGAGGATTCGAATGGCTATGAGAGCCCGACCCGAACAAAACCAGCCAGTGATGCACAGCGTTTCAATCATCTGCACTACACCAGCCTCTCCCAGGGGTCGGGCACCACCTCATCCTCCACTGCGGCAGCAGCAGCTGCAACGGGCAATGGAGCATCGAGTAGCAACAAGCCATCCTGTTCGCTGCCGCTGCTGCAGGTGTGGCCCAGCCAGGTAGGCACAACCAACACACACAGTTTTTGCTTGTGTTTTAATGTGTGCGTGTGTGTGTTTGTCTGTCATAGTATATGTGTGCTTGTGTGTGTGTGTGTAAGCTGTGAAAATGGCAGCAATAGTTCAGATAACGAAAAACGATTTCTGTTTCACGTTCTGTATTTTATTTTTTTGTTCTGCTTTTTCTTATTGAGGTTATTTTGTGCGTTTTGTGTTAATTTCTTTTCAAACTTTTCTCTTTCACCCTCTCCACCTCGCCCATACGACAAAAAAACAAAAAAAAAAAAAACTATCTGCCTCTTGTGCAACAAATACGATACAATGTGTTTCTGTATGTGCGTTGCGTGTTTGGTTTGATTTTAATTCCTGGTTTGCCGGTTTGTTTCTGGTTTGGTAGCCGCTTTTGCGCCAGGAGGGCTTCGTACAGTTGCGCCGTAACAGCGGCCCCGAGGGCCAGCGGGTATGCTTTCCTTCCAATAATACATCAAGTCTCTCTAGTTTACTCTTTTTAATACTCAATACAACTAATACTCATACTAATACAAATACTACTACTGCTACTTTTACTTCTACTAATAACAACTAAATCGTAGACTTTTTGCATGCCTCGATTAACATATAGAAATATTCAAATGTCACGAGCTTCTCGCTCGCTTTGCCCTAGAACGTTTTTTTGACTAAATTGTTGTAAAAAAGTAAGCCAAATAATTAAGTAAGCCAAATACTTGAGGTTCTTACGTATTTAAACATGTTTATTCATTAAACTACGCTTTTTTTGGCCCATTTTCAAGCACAACATTCGGGGGTTTTTGACAAAATAACGCAATTTTGTAATTTGTTTTTATTTTTATAATAGAAAATAAAATATATTTTCCTTAGATATTTTATAGTTGCGTTTTGAATTCACAAAACTTTCTGCACGCTTTCAAATTTATTAAATATTATTGATTTTATTATTATTATCATTTTGGCCATGGCCTTTTGCTACAACAATAACTACTAAAAACATAAGTCCCTCATACGAATCAGATTACTTATTACAAATATTTCGCAATAACTGAAAACTGACAAAAAGTTTTAATAAACTTACTTAATTTCAACTCTTTTTATGGCTCGTTTCCCAGAACACAGAACAACAATATTAATTAAAACAATTTTTAGCTCGCGGAAATTAAAATGTGTGTTTCGATGCGTTGTATCAAGCAGAAAAGTTTTGTTTTATGCGATTTCGTTTTCGTTTTCGTTTTGTTTATTGCTGGACACGAATTCATGTGAAATGTTTAAAAATGTATATTCCAACGAATTTTTATTTAAAATAATGGACATGTCGAAATGTCAATTGAAATTTAATCAAGCCTTACGAAAAACTTTTCAATTGAATTTAATTAAATAAAAAGGTCACGCTCATGATGTCCACGATTTTGCTTGAATTTGTTAATCCTGGCACACACACAACTTAAACATTCCAAGATTTAACTTCTCACCTTGTATATAAGTATAAGAAACACAAGTACAATAAATCTTGTATAACACTCACCAATTTACTAAATAAAAACAATCCAATACACTAAACAAAAAAGAAAACGCAATGAAAACTGCCTCCCACAGCTGCTCCCAGCACACATGGCTTAAGAATCCCCGAAACTCTTCCTAGTGCACCCAAGGAGCACCTTGCAGCTGTAGAATATCTAAAAGTATTTTGCCATTTACAGGACTCACCGCGCGGCGAAGCGGATGGCCAATCTTTCATCTTTCCCGCCATTGTGGAGACAACTGTCGGCAGCACCAATGTTGCATCTACCAGCAGCAGCAGCAACAACAACAACGACAACAACGACAGCAACAATTCCGGCTGCAGACGCAGCAACAATCACCTGACACTGAGAACAGAGCGGCGCAGCTCCTTGTACTGTGATACCCTGCACGCAGGCGATTCTGGCATAGATTCCGTGCAGGCATCGCCCTCACCGAACGCGTTTATAACGCCACCGGGCGTACATGGACTGCCCAGTGGCCAAACGGGCGGCGGATCATGTCATGTGTCGCCGACCAGCACGCCCACGCAGGGCTCACCAAATCTGTCGCTGGGTCGGCGGCACATGCGGAACAGCATCTGTGTGGTGTCCAGCGGGGGAGGTGCCAATTATCGGCGGAAATCCAGTGCGCTGCTGCATCCTGATCATGCGCGTCTATTTGCGCTCCGAATGAAGCATGCGGCGGCCCTGGAGCGAGCGCAAACCTCACCGGATCAGACATCCATTGAGGATGCAAATGAGTTCCATGACAATGGGCTGGCCACCAATTTGCGTTTGTGCTCGGCCTCGTCGTCGACGACGTCGTCGCTGACATCCGTGGCAGCGGTCAGCCTGGGCGGGGGTGTGGCAGCTGCTGGTGTGGGTGGCAGTGGGTGTGGCAGCAGTGGCGGCATTGCCACCGCCAGCAGCGGCGCCTGCTCCTCCTCCGCTTATGCTGTCGGGGCGGCGGGCGCACAGCAGCGAGTCTCCGATCCTTGGCTGCAGCCGCAATCCGATCGTGACTCGCGACACGGACATCAGCACGATGGACGGCGGCGTTCATCGACAATGACCGCCCGTTATTCACTCTTCGATGCACTCGATCTGGAGTACGTGCTGCTCCGGGCGGCGGCGCGCGGCTCTGTGGGTCCCTACTCGCTAAGCGAGTCCATACACAAATTGACCTTCACACAGTCGCTGGCATTTCCAGCGCTGGCGCGCGGTCTAGCCACCAAGCGCCGGAGATCGGCTACGCACACCAGTTCCAGGCCGCTAAATCCGCACGAATCGGGCTTGAATACGTGCGCAAAGGTTGTAACCGCTGTGGTCCTGGTGGCCATATCATTTATGGTATTTTTGATTGTGTACAAATTCGTGCGCACGTGAGGTTTGCTCCTGGCCCCGACGCCAGACTTCTCCGTCACATATCAGACGAGCCCAAGCAATGGAGTGGATGCCTCCACCTCATTCTTGTTGTCGTCCACAACGGCGGGTCGCAGTCTGGGCAAACATTTGTCGGGGTTCAGGAACCAATTGGGCCTCAAAGAGGCCGACTTTGAGTAACACTCAGCGGAAATTGTAAAATGCAGTAACGAAAAATTTGTGATAAACTTTTCAAATGATATACAAATTTCCACACACACACCCACACACACACATACACAAACACATACAAAATTAAAAAAACAAGGCTTAAAACTAGTAAAAGTTAATCGCTTGCAAGAGTTTCAATTGCAGTAATAACATTATCATAAATGAGCATTTTAAATTTAATTATTTTTATATCAATAAACTGTAAGTGCTTCAACTCGCTGCTAAAAACGCGCGTGCGCTTCAAAATCGCTAGGAAAACGCGCAGGCGTTACTTTTCGCATTTCTTAGCGTAGGAAACTTATTTACCATCAATATATTCACTTCATTGTTTAAAGTGCCTAACTAACTAACTGTTGAGCTATAAAATGTTTGATTTCAAAAACGAATTTACCATTTTGAAAGTTCCATTATAAATTGACAGCAGGTTCGATAAAAAGTTTATAAAGCATTTTCTAGTCAAAACAATTTTAATCAAATATTTCGTACGTATATTTCGAGTTTCAAAATTGTGCTACAGATGCAACATTTTTATTTATGCTCTTATATATATTTATGTGGTTCGAAATTGGAAGAATTGGTGAGTTTTGCTATTGAATTTCAAAAAAATAAATACCCTTGAATAATAATCAATTATTTTATATAAATCCTGGACAGCAGATTTTTTATATTCATTGGCTTGTTTGTTAAAACTTATTCGAAAAAATTAAAAAAAGTATTTTGTCAAAAATATTACAAAATAATAATAAAATTTTACATTACTAAAAATTTAAAATAATAATTAATGCATTTCAAATAGTTTTATTTCTTCAACTCTATTTGCCTATTTTATTTTAATTTGTTTATTTATTTTAATTCAACGATCTACAAAATTGTATATTAAATAAACAAACAAAAAATAACAATGCCCCTTCCAATCTCAATACCCTGTAAATGCAATTATTTTGTTTAGTAATTAGCATAAGGCATTAAAACATAATTATATCAAATTATATTGTATTGAAATCAACAATAAGACGTGCATAAAAGCTATTAAAATTTGTACTGAGTTGTTAGATGGCTACATATTTAATTAAATTAATTAAAGCGCATAAATTTCAATAATTACGATAGTTATTCATAGTTATACATTGACAAATATATCTAGTTAAATATAAATGTTTATAAATGTACATTTAAGCGGCTTAATTGTGACAAAGCACTTGCTGAATACAGAAATTAACAAAATCTCTCAAATCTTAACTTGCTGCCTTACTCTATCCAATAACAAACCCAACTCACAATTCATTTATAACTTGCTGCCTTACTTTCCTACAATTTTATAAAATAAACAACAAAAACTAAACAAAAAAAAAAAAAGATAAATAAAATTAAAGCACACCTCTAAAAATCTCAGAGCCTTTTTCCAATTTCCAATTTCTATGAGCTTGGCTTTAAAGTTATGCAAACGTTTTATAAAATAAACTCAAAAATGTTAAATTAAATGTTTAAATGCAAACAACAACAAAAACAAATCTGCTGGCGTAATTTTAAGTTTTTTTTCTCATTTATATTAAAGTGAAAAACATGCATAATTAATTTGTAAAATTATTAAAAGTCTAACATTAAGAATTGGTATGAATACTTGTTGCAAGGCTCGCCGAGGCTCAACACGTTAATTCATGTTTAATTAAGGCCTGTCGTTTGGGTTTTTGGCATAACTAAATATTTATACAACGCGACGCTGGCAAATATGTAAATGCAAATAAATATTAAATGTCCACACTAAAAAGCTGCCACAGCAGCACGCCAAGGCCCAAACACTCAAAAAAACCTATGGAAAATAACAACTGTAACTGAATTAAGTTTGAAACGTGCAACAATAAATATTTTCAAAAAAAAAAACAACAAAATTGTTTACTTTTCTCAATTCAATCAATTTTATTTTTGCATTTGGAATCATTAAAAGCTGTGAGTGTCATGCATATTAATAGATAAAAGGGAGCTTTTGGAAGATTAATTATGCTTTATGAAATAAATTCATAGCAAGGACAAGGACGTGTATTTTCTGGGGAAAACACAAATTAAAACGACCAAGAGAAAGCCGAAGAAACAATTAAAATTATTGGCATTCATATACATTCTTGAAATTTCTCTGCTGATGTGTAAATTAAAAATTACATCGCACTTAATTTAAATCAGATTTCCACGAATATAAATTGTTGCAAATGGCACTTACAATTTAAACGGCTTAAATTAAACTTTTGGCAAATGTTTGACTCGAACATATCCCGCACAAAGGTCAAAGATTTGCGAGGTAAGCCATAAAATTATTGAGTATTCAGTATAAGATATACCCAATATTTAGCTTGTATTAATTATATTATATCAGCATATGCCTGCCTCTGCCTGTTGCATACAAGAGTTCAACTAGAGTCAGCCCTTCAGATACGCTGGTATAGGGTATAAAGCCCAAGCGCTTTCATTTGCATAACAACTCCTGCATACTCGACGTACTTACATATATATATGTAAAATCGATTTCAATAGAGAATGGAAAGTTTAAATTGCAAATGCATGAAATTGGCAAATGTTGCGGTGCAATTCACAAGCAGACACGTTTAACCCAGCGGCAAATACGAGCACAAACATGTGCACATATCCACATATTCACATCCAATCTCAGCCTGGACTTCTTCTCAAACAATTCTCATCTATTATGCTTATCTCGACCCCCGATGTCCCTGTGTTTGCTGAACTTAGCAGCTAAATACGATTTCTGTGATAAATTGCTCGTCCTTGCAGGGCACATTTCCTGCCAAATCGTAATCTGAATAATTAAGCAAACTCAATTAGATTTGTCAGTAAATTAAACAGTCACAAGGCTCATATGTGCCTGTGTGTGTCTCTATCTCTCTGTTTGTACTTTGACCAGACTCAATGAGATGGAAGATCTGCTCCATTTTTGCGTTGATTTGATGCCCTGCAAATGAAATTAAGCTGAAAGATGGCCAAAGGAAATGGCCAAAACAGCGCAGTTGGGAGCAGCACAGGATTAGCACAGCAGCAATGGCAAGTCTTTGCTCCGCTACAAAAACTATAAACTATATATATATATATAACTCACAAGACATCTATCAAGGATGGCTAACAACTGTCAAAGCGAAATATTTAGTTTTCTTTCCCGCACAGTTCAATGAAAGAAGCTCCAACATATCCTTTAGATGAAAAGCGTACGGTATATAAAAATAACTGACGCTTCTGTTCTCTGGTGTGCCATTTTTGGCTTTTGTGCGGGTCTAGTGCATAATTAAACGCAAAATAACCGCAGCACAGAGCGAAAAACACAACGAAATGCTGCATACAGAGGCAACATTTCAATGGCAATACCCCAGCCGGAAACGAGACATTGTGGTATACAGTGTACGTGTGCGTGTGTGTGTGTGTATGTGTGTGTATTCAGTCACACATACACATATATAATACGAGTATCGATGTTTTTCAGAGCTCAAATGAAACGACCATCAATGTTGTTCTAAGAAGAATTTTCACCAAAGAATTTCACAAGAAACGGATTTGGCTTTTCGCTTATTTTTCCTTATAGAAAATCAAAAAAACAAAAACTGGATTGATACTTAATTTACGCCAAGGATTATGCCTGCATATATCATATATCGGATTAGTTGGATAAAGGACAACCGAATCAAACAGCCGAAAGATACTTTTTGCTACTTGAAAATATAAACCTGGTTTCACAGTTGCGGAAAACCAGGTCCACAAGCCATACCTGACGGTACTACTTGGATTCGACCCGTGAATCGAACTACTGAAAACTTTAGTTGGGTTTGCAGCTATGATTGAATAAGTTTGTAGGCGAAACTCATTCTAAGAATGTCTCTGCCGTATGTAAATATATGCATATGTACATGTAATATAAATGTCCATTTTATGCGGCCTCTCCGTTTGTGTTAGCCGACGCGCCACTTGCATTAAAAATGCTCAACATTTTTGCCTTTTGATATGGCTCGGCCTGGCAATATTTTTAGCTCTCAAGGTTGGCAAAGCGACGGATGCGAATGCGGATGTGGATGATTTGAAAAGTGGTAGGCAGCAGTTAAGCGCCCGGCACGACGTGGGTTAAGCACACACACACACACACACATACTCACATACAAGAAAAACACACACACACACCCACATATGAGACGCCTTGAGAGCAAAGCAAATGCAGCCACGTGGCAGGTGTTGCTGGAATTTTTGAAACTTGTTGCAAAACGGGCTCTGCACCCGAATCAACCTTGACTCTGAGCATTGTCCTTGAGCCGTGCGAGCCTTGGAAAATTGAAAAATTGCCGAGCAGCCAAGACAAGCAATGTAGCAATATGTATATATTTTTTTTGGGGGGTGTGTGAATAGCGAGGCCAATTGAAAGGACACAGATATGAGAATTTGTCTACAAATAAATTAATCTTGAGAGTAGACCCATATCAAAATATTTATAAATATGCTTCGTTTATTAAAATATATTAAACAAGCTCTTGTTAAACAATTTAAAGTTGGGCAGCATTTATAAAAAGGGTTTAAGTATCGAAATTCTCCTACACAGCTTTAGTTTCCAAGACCTTTTCGCATTTCATTTACGAATAATTAAAGACACACTGAAAAGGGCAAAAAGACGACCGCAGCACAAAAATTTGCGTATAAACAATTTTTTGATAAACACACACACAACATTTAACTTGGCCGTTTGGGAGGCTGTCGTCCATATCATTGTCAGCATTGTGTGCTGCTCGTGTGTGTGCGTGTGTGGGTGTGTGTGTGTGAGTTTTGGGCTTCAGAGACACATATTTTATGCATGCGCTGTGGCAACAAAACTGCCATCTACTGCTGGAATATTTATGTTACGAAACACTAAACATGCACATAAAACTGTTGCAACAGTGCTGCAAAACAAACAAACAAACAAACAAAAAAAAAACAACAACATTGTCGCTTGTTTCCACTTACACGACTCAACGAGGCAATTGGAAAATCTTCACCGTACAAAGTGACTGACTTGGCTGGCAAACGAGGCGGCCGGGTGAAGGAACAGAGACCGCACAGCCAGAGACAGCGACACAAAGTCTACCGCAGTATGCCTGTCCCGACATTTTTCGCATTTCCTGCACTCGCTAGTAAAAAGCGGAAAGGAGAGTAAATAAGGAAAAGGCCTTATAATACAGTTTCACATCTTAAAGAGATTATAACTTAAATTATCGTATAGTTTAATCACTAAATAAGAAATTAATAAACAGCTGTTCCTTGCTGCAGTCAAGATCATGCATGTCACCAAACAAGAAGGTGAGCGAACAGTATAAATACGGCTGTCCGTTGAAGCTGGGCTTTCATTTGGAGTTGCGAAGCCGTCCAGTGCATTTGCATGATCATACATGTATGCTCGCAAGAAGAAGAGCTGGCAGTATATAAAAGGCTGAAAACTGCGCAGCAATTTTAGTTGCGTGCGCGGGGTGGCTCGGTGCGGGTGGTATGATGTTAAACTGCAGATCATGATTGAATGCGAGCAAGAAGAAGAGCAGGTAGAATATAAATGGCGGCGAATTAGGGCACAGTTTCAGTTGGGGTCGTAAAGCAGCCCCTTACAGATGTGTGCATTTATTAAAATACGAAATGCAGATCATCCATGTACGCTAGCAAGAAGAAGAATGAACAGTATATAAGCAGCCGCAAATTGGAACTAAATTTCAGTAGAAGTCGCGACCCGGTCCGGTATAGACGGTGCAATAGCGTGAATGTGGACGTGTGTGTTTTTATAAAAATACAAAATCAGATCATGCAGTAATGCTAGCAAGAAGAAGAACGAACAGTATATAAATGGCTGCAAATTGAAGCTCAGCGTCAGTTTGAGTTGCGAGTCGGTCCGCACAGACGGTGCAATGGCGTGGTTGTGAATGTGTGTGTTTTTATAAGTATATGAAAAACAGATCATGCGGTAATGCTAGCAAGAAGAAGAACGGACAATATATAAATGGCTGCAAAGTCAAGTTCAGCTTCATTTTCGGTCGCGAGGAGGTCCGGTGCAGATGGTGTGATGGCGTTATTGTGAGTGTGTGTGTGTTTTGATACAAATATGAAATGCAGATCGTCCATGTAAGCTAGCAAGAAGAAGAACGAACAGTATATAAATGGCTGCAAATTGAAGCTCAGCGTCAGTTTGAGTTGCGAGTCGGTCCGCACAGACGGTGCAATGGCGTGGTTGTGAATGTGTGTGTTTTTATAAGTATATGAAAAACAGATCATGCGGTAATGCTAGCAAGAAGAAGAACGGACAATATATAAATGGCTGCAAAGTCAAGTTCAGCTTCATTTTCGGTCGCGAGGAGGTCCGGTGCAGATGGTGTGATGGCGTTATTGTGAGTGTGTGTGTGTTTTGATACAAATATGAAATGCAGATCGTCCATGTAAGCTAGCAAGAAGAAGAACGAACAGTATATAAGCAGCTGAAAAATGGAGCTCATCGTCAGTTCAAGTTGCGAGGCGGTCCGGTCCGGTACTGACGGTGTGATGCCGTGCATGTGTGTGTTTTAATAAAAATATTAAATGCCGATCATCTATGTACGATAGCAAGAAGAAGAACGAACAGTATATAAGCAGCCGCAAATTAGAGCTCATCGTCAGTTTAAGTTGCGAGGCGGTCTGGCACAGACGGTGCAATGTGATTGTGAATATGTGTGTTTTTATAAAAATATGAAACGTAGATCATGGATGAATGCTTGCAAGAAAGACGCGGCTCAGTTTTATATGGTGAGTACACAAATTTATATTTAATGTACATTTCTCAATATCGTACATCTATGTTTTTTTTTCATACATTTGTCAGAATCTGTAAAAGTATACAAGTTAATTTTGAAAAAGGTTGATTGCTTTTTGATTTTAAGTTTATTTAAGAGAAAGTACACAATTATTTTATTAAAAAAAAAAAACAACAATAATTTTATTAATTGTTCGGTTTATAACCGACCTTGCTGGATATATATTTGGGCCATTGAGAAGAATATTTGTTATTTGCTTTATAATTTAGCCACGCACACATACACGCACCTGAAAGTATTTATTTCTTAGTATCTTGTACACCATTCAGTTTTTATTGTTTTTTTGTTTTCTTGTCTGGCCCCTGGCTAAAATCTGGCTGTGTTCTGTTTTTAATGAATTTTAAATTGCACTTCACTTGGCAAGCGGCGTAAAAACAAAATTTAATAAACAATTTTGATATGTAACTACTCACGGGCAGCTGCTTTCAGATACAATGGGTGCTTGCCTCAAGCAAGGAACTGGGGGCAAAGACAAGAATTGTGCCGCCCTCGTTTATTTTGTAGCTCTGCAATCCACAGGTTGTCCAGGATGCGTTCTTGTTCTCTGTGCTCGACAGCTAATTGGGGACAAGTCTCCCCTTACGACTCTTTTATGGCCGGCACACAAAAGGTCCTGTCCGCGCGGACAACAAGGGCTCCTTGTCGGCAACTGAGTTTTCGTAAGACAATTATGAAATGACCTTTTTATAGCCTATTATTACTTTTGCCCAAGTGGGGTATTGTGATTGGGTTTGTAGCTTGGTCGGATAGAGGGGCTGTTGCGGGAAGACAATCATTTTGTGTTGGACTATATCACAAGTGCCTCCCATTACGTAAGTAATGTTGCGAGTTAGTTAAATAAATTATGAATTAGTCAGCAGAGCACAGCAACAATAATAAATAAAATGGAAATGAACTCGTTTATTTTCTTGTCTGCATCATATTTGTCAAATATGATTTTAAATAAATGTGAATTACGCACTTAAAAATGTGCTGGCCCAAGTTGTATGTAAATATGGACAACTTTTGTGTAAATTGTAATCCTAATTTGGCAATCTCTCAAAAGAAAAGCAAAAAGTTGTGCATTCTCATAAATTATTTATTTGAATCGATAAATTCAGTTGGCGGGCTATTCCTAGTGGTTACCCAAAATATCGCATAGGCTATCGCCAACTATCGATAACTTCGAACCCAACGAAGAACTAGCCCTGGCGTGATTTGACAAGACATGTATAAAATTGAGTTTAAAATGTTGGATTCAACATAAATGTAACATAAATACTAATTTTAGTATTATATTAGACTGTGTTTTGAAATTATTGTTATATCGAAAATCACCAGCTGAAAAGTGACTCGGGAACGTTCACTAATGCAGATTAAAAAACGCTCATCGCTAATAGATTTGGTTTCGATTCGATAAACAAGTTTTGCCGGCTAAATAAATTAACAAACTTGATAAGAAAGCCGTAAAATGCAAAAAGCAACAGAAGAGGAAACATTTCAGTTACAGGCACTGGAAATACGTGAGCCAGATGACAATTTTGATCCACAGAAACCGCCACAAACGGGCGAGGAGTACCTGATGCACATGCTCTACGAGCGCAAACGTTGTCCGGCGGTCGTGACCAAACGCTCCACAAAAATCACAAATAATGTGACCACCAACGGATGCGAAATGCTTCACAGCGTAAGTCGCAACTGATTTTCGGGAACTGCGTGTTTAATTAATGTATCGACCTTAGCCGCCAATGCCGCCCCACAGATGTCTGTTGCCCACGCCGGAGTGGCGGGACGCTCAAGTAAAAAGCTTCAGCAAGGCGCGCGCTCGCGTTGTTGCACTGCGTCTGGAGTTGAATGCACAGCACTATGATCAAAGCATCGAGCCGCCGCTCACCACGGACGTGGACAAATGGCTGGAGTTCTGCCGGACGCAGCAGCCGCTGCTGAGCACTCTGCTGCGCCTGAGCCAAAGCGATTTGGAGCTCTTGCTGGAATTGCTGTGCAAGTGGCTGCAGGAGCCGAATCAGTCGCCAGTTGAAACCGCTGGACCGAGCACTTCTGCCGCCGCCAAGCCAATTGATTTGTTACGCGATGCTTGGCTGGCGCGCTGGCTGTACGCCAACCTGGTCTGTCTGCATCTGCCCTTGGAGCCGCATGTGTTCAGCACCTTGCGGTATATAGCGCGCTCCTGTGTGCTGCTGCGCAATGAGCTAAAGCCGCAGGAATTGGAGCGTGCGGCGCCCTACAATCTCATTATAACATTGATTGCCCTGTACTTTGCCCAAACCGATTTCTCCGTCTACCTGTAAGCCTGGCCATGTGGTTCACTTTAAATATAAGCGCATGTATTTGTACCTTTTAACAACTCTCAAAGGATCTGCTATATGCCTGACAGATGGGGCAGCTTTTCTGATGCTCTGCTGCACCACCCACAGCTGATCTGTGGCTGCACTGCGTCAGGCTGGAGCACTGACTAAGCGTTTGCGATTGACTACTGAGCTGTGTGCTGCTCGAGCATGTGGAGAGCCTGCGTGGCGGCATGCGACTGCTCATGGTGGGTGCGTAGCTGCAGCTGGAACTGCTGGCCCAGCATTTCGATTGCCTGGCATGGCACACGGCTTGCTGCTTGCGCGGCAGCTCCAGGCGACTGAGGCAGCGGCTCTCCACATGGCGATTGTTTAGTGGCCGCTCCAGAGCCAGTTTACAGCGTCGGCGTTGTTTGTCCTGCGTGCTCAGTTCCGCGGACAGCTCCACTTTCGGCGCCAGTATGCCCGGAAAAGCGGATGTTGCCTTCATCAGCAGCTGAACGTTGGCGATGTGAGCGCAGCTTGGTTGGGGAATTGGCGGTTGCAGTACATCTGTTAATCTGCCCACGTAGTAGGCAAGCCGGCGTCCATTTTGCCACAATGTTATCTCCAGCTGCTCCGAGTTGAGCATCTGCCGCATCTGTTCCAGCGAGTTGACGCTCCTAAAGTAACCTTCCATCGTGAACTGATCATGGCAGAGCATGGGAAAACGTGGCTCCATTGCGCCAGTGCGAAAATAGTAGCCCAATGTCTTGACAGTGGCCTCCAAATAGCCGTGTGAGCACAGCCAGACTCCCGGGCAGGTGAGCTAGAAAGTGTAGGCTTTTGATTAGGATCAGGTATTCCTTGTATATCCAACGATACCAACCGCATGTAACTGCAGTTCTAGGCGCATATGAAATCTCTTATGTGACATTGTGCACTGCTCCAAGTGAGATTGTCAGCTTTTTCTCAGACATATTCTTATCAAATTGGGGTTTGGGGCATTTGAGTTTTTGTTTTGGCTGTCGTGGCGTTGCCACGGGCAGCAAGGTATCCAATTTCAAATATTGTGCGCCAAATAAGAAAAAGTGGCAAGTGCAGCGAAAATTATCGATAACAATTAATCGACCTTTTTGAGTTTTGTCTTCTGTGTGAATGTCAAAATTAAGTGAAGAAGCGCATTGATAAATACAGCTATATGTGCAATTATCACACGTCAGGTTTTTGATTACTTTTGTTGAAAATGTTGCGCCAATTTTTTGCATTTCTATTGCTAGTCCAGCTGAGGGGCTTGGACTGCCAGCAAACACCGGAGGAGGAGCAGGGCGTGCGCTATGCCAATCGCTGTGAGGCTTGCAAAATTCTTGCCGCCGAATTGGAGGCGCGTCTGGGCGAAACCGGCAAATCGCACGATGTTATTGAGATCGGCTACTCCGTGGACGATGTGCGTCCCAAGAAGCGCACCGAATACCGACGCAGCGAGCTCCGTTTGCTGGAGTCCCTGGAGAATGTGTGCGAGCGAGTGCTGGAGTATAATTTGCACAAGGAGCGCACGGACAGCACGAGATTTGCCAAGGGCATGTCGCAGACCTTTCAAACGCTGCACGGCCTGGTGGACAAGGGCGTTAAAGTGGACCTGGGCATACCCTACGAGCTGTGGGACAAGCCGCCCGTCGAGGTCACCCAGATGAAGAACCAATGCGAGAACATGCTGGAGGAGTACGAGGATGCCATCAGCAATTGGTATTTCCAGCTGCAGCAGGACAAATCTCTGCAGCAGCATCTGTGCGAGGATCATGTGCTTAAGCGACCGGAGGAGCGCAAGTGTCTCAAGGAGCAGCTGACGCAGCAGCCGGAGCGAAAGAAACCAAAGAAAAATACCAAAGGCGACAAGCAGGAGCTGTAGCTGATATGGAACTAAGCGAGGATCAGATCCTAATCAAATCTAATCATTGCCGTCTCGTGAACAAAGAGTATTTAGTTAAGCTAGAAAACTTACTGTCTGTATTCCGAATGCTTCCAAAACCGACTGAACCAGCAAATGTTATGGCACGACCTGCCCACTATCGATTGGCAGCCCATTAAATGTGGGCCGCAAGGGCCTTAAAAAGTAATGTCCACAGCTTGTACGACTACGTTTATACGAAGCTTTTTTGTATCGTGATTATATGTTTAACATGAAGTTAACTTTTAGTGTGAAAGGTCCCTGAATTATTGTTCCTTAATAAAATAAGCTGAAAGATTTAAATTGTCAACTTAAAGTCCTGTTAAATAAACATTCAACAGGAGCTTTAACATGAGCTTTGTCGCCTAGTTTGGAAGTGCATTGCAAATAATTGAAAACAAATCGAGTCGAATTCTCTTTGATTTGTGTTTAGTGAGTTGTCCCTGAATTATTGCTTCCTAATAAAATAAGCTGAAAGATTTAAATTGTTTGATTATATTGCCCTTTTAATAATTATTTTAACATGCGCTTTGTCGCCTAGTTTACAAGCTCATTGCAAATATTTGAAAACAAGTCGAGTCGAATTCTCTTTGATTTTATTGCGTTAAATTTATAATCACGCTTCGTATAAATGTATAATATGTGTTGGAACTGTGTGTTTTTGCTCTCTCTTTGTGTATAATAAATACGTCACGTATGTTTATAAATAAAAAATAAGTAGTTTTTTTTTTTTTTAAATAAGCATTGGGAGTTAGTTCATATTGTTGCTGCGGTTGTGGAATCACTTTGAAGTTTCTAGCAAGTGTCAGTCGAATCAAAAAAGGGAAAGGATTCGGTCCAGTCTTTATGCTTAGAGCTTCATCACGTCCCACGGATCGTCCATGTAGTGCAGAATGGCCTTATCGTGCAGCTTGTCGCCAAAGACCTCGCGCAGCAGTCGCAGCACCTGCTCCTCGATGAACGCCACCTGATCTTGTGGACAGTAATCATCTTGGGCCGAGTGCGCCATGGTAATGGCCACGGGCGGCACAGGCAGACGCTGCAGGAAACGCTTAAAATTCGCAAAATATTCCGCCAGCTCCTTGCTGGTGCTTATGTGATGCGGCAGTCCATTGTTGTCCGTGGTGCTGCCCGAGTCGAAGATGAGCAGCCAGTCGATCTCGTCGTCGGGATACTTTGCCTGCAGCTGCTCGGCCAGCTGGACAATTTTGGCATAGATCTGTGGTGTTATGACTGATTCGTCTGGCTTCTCCAGGCCGTCAAAGCTGCGCTGCTCCTCCAGATGCCAAAAGATGCGCTTCAGTGCGTCCAGCTGCTTCTGTCGCGTCGCCGCCGTGGCACAGTAGTCCGCAATGGTCGCTGTGCCGGCCTGTTTGGCGGGCTCCACGCTCTCAAAGTGAAAGATCTCCGTGAGCTGGGCATAGCAGTTGGCATCCTTGTAGATTTCCAGAAACGGATTCGATGTGCTAAAGAAATCCAAATCGATGTCGAGCACAAAACCCGCTGCATCCTGCGCCGTCAAGAATTGCGCGGGATCCAGCGACTCGCTGTCCGCATCGTGCACCTGCAGCTGCACCGAACGCGTTTCCTGCAGCTCTTCGCTGGTGCAATAGTTGCCTTCGGCTATGAAATAGTCCAGTGGACAGTCGACACCGATGCGATCCTCCTTGTGGCCAATTTTGAACTCGTGCTTGCCCGTTGGTATTTGCTGGCACCACGAGTTCTTCAGCCAGACGACCCGATCAAAATGTCCTGCAGAGCGAAATTGGATAACAGGTGTCTCAGGTGTGATCTGGTTACGACTTACCTGCATATAAGGTGGGCATAATCCAGTTCTCGATGCTCAGCTCGTTGAGCATGATGTCCTTGTCATAGCTGGCACTGGCGGGTATGTCGCGAGCCACTACCAAATCCGGATGCGAGTCGAAATGCACTAAAATGTTACGCTCCAGCGGCAGATGTCGCGTGGCCAAGCAACGATAGATGAACTCCAGCACATCGTTGTGATAGTCCACAATGAAGACGGGTATGCGGCTAAATTTACGCAGGCTGCTCTGCGTGCTCTGTGCCCGCTCCACAGCGACCAGTTGTGGCACCGTCTCCTCCTCCACCTCCTTCTCCTTCAGTTCGTCTTCTTTCTCGTCTGGAATCGCAGCGTCTAGCGCGATTTTCTGGCGCTTGTTTGGCGGCGGCGTCGCCTCGCCTAGCCCCGTCTTGCCACCCACGACGCTTTCACTTTGCAGCGGCAGCGACTGCAACTCCGCCGCCGTACTTTCTTTTTCCGTCGTATCCGATTCCATCTTTGCAATTAGAATTGAGCTACTTTTTGTTAAATCTTCAACTCGCTTGCTGCAGTTGACGGCGGCGGCGCGTGCGAAATGACGCAGACTATTTCACAAAATATCGTGTATATATTCAATACAAGGCAGACGACCTCGACGCTCGACGCCGTTTGTTTTAATGCAAACAATACAAATACAGTCGAAAAACGATTTTTGGGGGGAAAAGTGGGATTGTGCAAGTGGGAGGCAGAGAGACGAGACAAAAAGCTAATGAACCCATTAGTGATGGAAAATATCGAAATTGTTGCGTATATCGATTAACGTCGGTGCTGCCACACTTGCTATCGCTACCAGGGCTGCTGCAAAAGCAACAAGTGGGCAGCTTGCTGTGCTCAAAGCTTTGCGGTGTGTGCATAGGCTAGAATTTGTCTCTGCTAAAAATGGCGCAACTTTCGAATTCAAATTTTGGTTTGGTTTCTAGAAAATGGCAGACTCAGCCAAGAAATTGGGCAGTTCAGAGACTTGTAAAAACCTGTTTATATAGAAATCGGCATATATTAAATTAGATATGTCTTAACTATACATAATTGTATCAATAATTGTTTGTTAATCAGTGGGGGAAGTGGGTGCGTTTCAATATTGGCTCAGCTTCACATTTGTAGTACACAATTTAATTCTTATTGGGCAGCAAGCAAAAGCTTGCAACGCCCCAATCAGCAAAAGCTCTGCCAGCCCACGCGCAGCGGCAGCTTTTCATTCATGAGTTTCTGCCGTTTTACGATACACACCCACACGTGCTTATATACAACTGTGCTGTAAGTACACACATATATGCATACATATAAACATGGTGCCGCTGTGTGGCAGTTAAAAAGGGAAATGGAAATCGCCCACGTTGGCATTTTTGTTGGCTGATTGGAATGCGTAAAATGCTGCCGCTGCCGACGACGTCGCAGTTGCCGTTTCTGCTACTCACTTACGGTATACACAGCTTGGTGCGGGTGGAAATGAATGGTGTGCTGGAAGAGACGTCGGCGTCGCTGCTTGCGTGCCGGGCCTGCGTGGGCGAGCAATTCCGCAGCGCGTTATCAAAAGTAAAATGTACAAGCACACAAACACATTTGGCGCTATACACACACACACACACACACATACACGCACACAATTTGGCCAGGCCAACGGGCGAGGCTGCCTCTGCCTCTGCTGCTGCTGCTGCTGCTGCGTGGGCAGCGCGCTGCGGCGGCAAATTACAATATCCAAGTGGCAGTTTGGGCCGTTGATGACGGCGCACTTTTATGTGACGCCCACACGTCCGCACGCTCCACATTTGATTTTAACAAATTACGTGGGTCAACATAATTAACGGGCCTGCCAACCGAATCCGAATGCGAGTGCACCAAGCAGCGGAAGTGCCAGAAAGCAGCGCAGCAGCAGCAACAACAACAAAAGCAATTTCCATTTGAAAATCAACTTGGAAAGTTCACAGTTTGGTTTATTGATTCAATTGGCTGCAATTGGCAATGCCCGTTTACAGTTATTGTTGTTGCTGTTGTTGTTGTTGTTGTTGTTGCCGCTGCATTTGTATTAATTACAGTCACCCCGGGCAAAGAAGCCCCAAGCTGCGCTGCACACAACGATCATCGTCGTCGTCGAATTTCTCATTGCGCTCTCAATTCTCGCAATTAATTTGCCTCCAGCTTGACCCCAAAGGTCAAATACAGCCGCATTAACCTTCGTTAGCCCCTTACGGCCCAATTGAGCAAAGCAGGCGGCAACAATTTTCTGCTCGACGCTCTACTTTAAAAACACAACATACTCATCAAATGGAAAAGCAACCAACCAACACCCATAAAAAAAAACAACAAAAAAGCAAAAAGTAGGCGAGGTTTGCTTAGGTAATTGTTGTTGGATAAATATATTTATAGGACATCTATAAAATGGAACTTTCTGAAGTTCTGCACTGCAGCCAATGTCGTAAGGCAGTTCATGAAAAGGAATATCGTAAAAGTAATCGAGCTAGAGTGGATTGTGGCATAAACCTATCGATATTCGGAACGTGACGTGTTATGGAAATGTAGAAGACTGCCAATATCGTAAGACGGTTCATGAAAAGGAATATCGTAAAAGTAATCGAGCTAGAACTGGTTAATGCATAAACCTATCGATATTCGGAACGTGACGTGTTGTCGTCATTTAAACCCAATTGAAATATGGAAGACCGCAAAGTGCTTTCAACTTTATTTCAGATTACAAACGAAGCATTCAGCAAAAGCGTCTTTACAGCAGATTCAGTTGAATAAAAAATCGCATACAATACGTTCCGTTCAGCTCGAGCTTGCCTTCCCGCAAATGACGTCAAAAGGATTTGTGGCGTAGGTGTCGCAAGGCGTAAGGCAGCAGCACGTGGAGAAGCTGTTGGCTGGCTGAGTCACCCTGGCCAGGTCGTCGTTTGTTTCATATCAATCGCCAGCTGAGCTGTGGCGTCATTGGCCCACAACAGTTTAAACAAATCCCCAACGGCGCCCACAGACGCAGCAGCCGGAACAGCCGGCTCTGGTCAAAACGTCAAAAGCGCTGATCGTCGATTGCCCGACTGGCGCCCACAAACATCCGCTGCATGAATCAGTTTGGCTTTTATATGTAGCTCGACAGCCACGCAGAGGGAGGAACGGGCGGGGGCATACATACATGCGTAGACTGTGGGCCGATGTGGCCTGGAATGCTGCGGATCAGACCGGAAGTATGCCAGTTAATGGGCACGATATGTGAGCTGAGCGTATCGCAGCTCGCAAGTTCTTAATCCCTTTCGCATTACTTTAGGTCAGTAACTTTGGCGATAGTGCCACTTGGGGCGAGAGGCAGCTGCCTCCGAGAGAGGCTGGTCGCCAGATAGCAAGTTGCATGTGACTCAGTTTATGTGGAAAGCGAATCAACTCAAGAAACTGAAAGTTATGCCTGCCTGCGCCTGACTATCAGCACAAAGAGAAAGAATTTTATTTTTTTTTAATTTTGATCAAATTGTAAAAGTATATATTATAGTATAAATTGTATATAGTTCATGTTAACTGAGATAGATCGATTTGATAAATTTTAAAAGCCGATTAGGCTTTTTGAAGAATTTATTAATATTCAACAAAAAAAACGCAAATTTCCTTTATAAAAAACGTCGTCTTGTTTTTTTATATGGATCGGACCATAAGCTACGATCTTTCGAAAATCAAGTATTTTATATTTTTTTTGGAAAAATGTTTTAATTTAAATTTATATAGCTGGAACGACATCTCTTTTTTAATACAAAATGTATGTTTTTAAATAATGCAAATTTAATTAATATATAATTCAGGCATAGTTTTTTATATGGATCGGACCATAAGCTACGATCTCTCGAAAATCAAGATATTTTATGTTTTTTGGAAAAATGTTTAAATAGCTGCCATGGGAACGATCTCTCTTTTTTAATAAAAAATTTATGTTAAAATCATTCGACAATAATTAAAAATTTAATTTTGGTTTTCTTTTTTATTTTTAGTTTATTTCCCAGATTCTTAAAGAAAGAAAATGAAATATCGTCTGATTTAAGCATCAGCTCATCATTTTCCATTCGAATAAAGATATTCGCTTCCTAGAATTCCTTGTCAAACTTGAACTAAATTTAGATACATATGTGGGCATACTCATAGATTCACTTTCGTTTCGGTGTTTCAGTCAAGCAAAGAATTGAATTCCCTTTAAGCATTTCGAGTTCTCAGAATTTGAAACATTTGTATTTATGAAAATGCGTAAATCAAAACGATTCACACTCAACTTGAAGAGAATTTCATTTTATAGACTTTTGGCTGCAATATATTGTAAGTTAGGCATGATGTCAGGTGAGCACAGGTAAAAGATACAAATATAATAGAGGAAATTAAGTCAAGCTGGAAATTACTAATATTACAAAATAAATAATTATAAATTAAGTAAATAGTCATGATCTATAAAGGTAAACCTTTTAAATCTTATTGCCAACTTTGGAGTTCGAACCCGAAGCCTGCTTTCATTGATAAGCTCGTCGTCATTGCTCGCAAATATTTGTCAATAGATTAGGCATTGCCTCATTTTGACAATAGCTCAATGCAATCAACATTAGGAATCAAAATCACTTTGCTCATACGCAATTTTAATATATCGCCCAATTAAAGTTCAGTGTTTCAGTTGGCGGCAGGTGAACCGCAGGTGAGTCAGAGGCCCCGCAGCACATTAGTCAGCGGCCAAGTGCTTGCCAAATTCGTCAGTTCGAGGTGCATTTGAGAACTAGCTGGCTAAAGCTGTGCAGGTGCAAACGCCGTTAGTTGCTGGCCGGCTTTGGGGCGCGTCCAGGGACGCACCCCTGTCCGGGCTGACCTTGCTTGCTTTCCTTCTATCTAACTGTTTTCAAGGCCGTGGCATCATAGACTGCACACTTTGATGTTGCCAGGTCGCGTAATTTATGCCGCAGGGCTTACCTAATTTTCAATTTTCTCTCGACTTGTTCCGAGTCCCACGCATTTTTCGCAGCCCACCTTCTATTTTCGAGGCGTGTCGCAGGCGCAAATCTCCTCCTGCCGCACACCTCCTTCGGAAAAATGCGTGGGCTACACTTCGATTTTTGTTGCTCTGCCGCTTGTGTTGCTTGTGGGTGGATCAGGGGGGGGGGGGGGGGGGGGGGGTTGTTTGAGCGCTTAGCTGTATTTGCCTTTGCGTGGGATTTTCATTCATGAAAATATCTGTTTCGAGTCACACTTTTGCAGCTGTCGCCCGTCGCTGGGTACATAAAAAAGCACGTTGTGTATGTATGTATGTGCTCGTATGTCTACATATACATATACATATGTATATGTAATGCATGCACACATACGTACGAACACATGTATATAAGCATGGGCCCAAGTTTTGCCGCTCTGCCTTTCCTTTTCAAGGCAGCGCATGCGCCCTGAATAGCTGTGTGTGTGTGTGTGCGAGAGGGTGTGCGTGTGGTGGGCTAGGGGGTCTGTCGCTTGGGGCCGCTTTTGGAGAAATTTTCTGCACGCGCATAGGCATATCCTTGAAGTTCTCGGGCTTGGCCCTTGTTTCTTGCTGTTGTTGTTGCTGCCTTTTTGCAAATATCAGGGTCACGGTTATAAATTTAAACATTCTGCCAGTCTCCAAAAACGACCCTGCTGGCGACCATGTCCTTGTGAACATTGTGTGCGTGCTTGTGTGTGTGTGTGTGTGTGTGTGGGAGAGAGTTTGCTGAATGTTTCAACTTCATTGATGAGTTTTGGGCGCAGCACAAGTATTTTTCCCATGCCGTCTGCAAGCCGGGGCGGCTCAACATTAACGTAGTTGAGCTTCAGCTGCCCCCACCCACCGTCTCCAACTATTGTTGCTCCGATGGCTTCGCATTCATAAGCCTACTCACTGGAGTGTAGACTACATATATATGTATTGTATTTGCACATACTTTTGCACATAACTACATAGCATACATAAATTGTTTCCATATAACATCCCAGCGAGCACGCACACACACACACACCCATACATGCACACTCACCCGCACTGCATATTCAGAGTAATATATTAGGCAGCTAGTTTGCGCCGAACTCAATGAATCAACACACACATTCAACGCATACCAATGCACAAAAATATCAATGAACTTTACACAAACTTATGAGCGTGTGCTATGCGCACATGCGAGGTTTCTGCTGCTGTTGTGGGAGAGCCCGAGCAAGGCAAATGGAATGAGAGCGAGAGAGAGGCAGAGGCTGTAAGGTGAGCGAAGAGCAGAAGACAAATCACCAAAGAGGCAGGTTGGAATTTTGAAGAGGCTAAATTAAAAATGCTATAAAAGTAACTAATAAATATAATTTAATTTTAAAAATATTGATTTTTCAATTACTCAACTTTAAAAATAAATTTATAACCGATTTGGATCGCTTTCTCTTTGAATCAGCTCATCACAAGCGTCAACGCAAGGCAGATCCGATTTTCTAGCTAGCACATTGTGCAAACTCACCTCCTGTTACTCTCTCTCTGCCTCTCTCTCTCTCTCTGCTTTGTGTGTGTGTGTGGGTGCTGCCGCTGCAGGCGTCCGCTCACTTGTCGTGTTGCTGCCACAACAATGTTAACACATCAGGAAATTTGAAATGACTTTTGTAATTAAATTTATTAATATAATTGTCAATTTTAAGTATAGGTTATAAAATATTCCTTTAAAATGCAGCACTTGATGCATTTAACTACATTTTTCCACATGATAAAGCCCAAATCACCCATTATACATTACATTTTTTTGTCATGTCGCATTCAGTAGGTTTTTCGTACACGACATATCTGTTGGGGCTCGAAGCGTTCAGAGTTCCTTTTAACAGACTCGACAAATACACCCGCTTAACAGTTTGATAACAGCGCACGCTGAGCAAAACACCTCACTACAGAGTTTGAGAAATCATTTGCACAGTTTGAGATAACATGTGCGGCACAATGACCAACAAAATCGACCCGAGAAAGAGAGAGAGAGAGAGAGAGATAGACAGATAACAGTAGAGGAGAGCTTAACAGGAGCGCAACAGATTCATAACGTTTTGTGAGCTGTGAGTGTTTAACAGTCTGCTTGCTGCAATGGCCAACTGTAAACAATTTGTTCGTTTATTTTTTCATTCCTTCAGCGTATCTGTATCTTGTCGCTTGTAGCCCGCTCGTACGGTCTTCGGTGTTCGGTCAGTGCGCGTTTTTTAGGCTCTGTTTATTTCATTTGCTCAACACTCAACTTCGACATACACATACAGTTACAGCGATACATACACGGTAGTGATTTGGCGGGCTTGTGTGCGTGCGAATGGGGGCCTACAACAAAACATACAAAAAAGAATTGAAGTGCGATACAAAAGCGCAAAAAACACACAGTGTAAATAAAATTTCAAGCAACTTAAGCCAAATGAAAACAAAAATTAAACAAATGCAATTTTAGTATTAACAAACGCTCTTAGGAGAAACAGCAGAAAAGCGCTTGGGAAATTCTACACAAAACGTAGCTGGAAAAAGATTTCATTGTAAAAAATTGAAATTGTGTTTCGTTGCTTGCTTGCGTGCGTGTATGTGTGCGTGTGTGTGTGTATGTGAGAGCGAGAAGCACAACACAAAAAGGAAAGCAGAAGCAGCAGAAATACAAAAAATGTGCGCCAGGCAAATGAAGCAACAACAACAGCAGCAGATGATGTAAACTTTTGTTGTTGTAAAGTTGGTGAAAAACTTATCGACAAGGAGCAAAAGCAAAAAACTAGAAACGCTTTATTGAGTGTGTGTGTGTGTGAGCGAGTGAGTGCATTTGCCAAGAGCTTTTCAAGATGCCGGAAACGGAGTACGAGTGCTGCAGCAAAGAGTGGCTCCAATCGGAGCTGAGAGCCAACTGCGACGCCGCCAAGAAGCTGATCATACTCGACTGCCGCGGCTCTCAGGAGTACAGCGAGTCGCACATACGCAGCGCTGTTAACTTTAGCATACCCAGCATTATGCTGCGCCGTCTCGCCGCTGGCAAGATCGATTTGCCCTCCACAATCAAATCGCAAGAGCTTAAGGAGCGCATCCAAACGGGCTACAAGCTGAGCCTCTTTATACTCTACAACGATGTGGGCGTGCCCCAGCAGCAGCAGCAGCAGCCCCCTCAGGATGTGGCCGGAGCTCTTGCAATGTTCGGCAATGGAAACGATGCCACGATCAATGTGCTCCATCGCCGGCTCAAGCAGGACGGTTGTCGCGTCGTCTCGCTGCAGGGTAAGTTCCATAAATCAATCAAAACAAAAGAAATCGCACTGCTAAATTCCTGAGCATGAGCCTAGGCAAAAGTATTTCAGAAATTTACGCATACTTATACATACGCAAATAAATATACACAAATATTTCGCTCATTTGTTTTATTTTCGTTGTTGTTCGTTGCTCTGCGGCATTTTTAGCACGAAAAATAAGCGCACAATCAAAACAAAGTCTAAAAAACAATAATAAATAAATAAATATATGTATAAAACAAATCATAATAATGCATAAAGCATGCCATAAATAAACATTTGCTCGGCATTATGTATTATTATAAATGTTATTCTTAGTCGTCGCTACAGAAATAACAGGAAAGAATGTTGCAGTCAGAGTCCACCTGACTGTGATATACCCTGGAATTGCAATTCAAAATGCACTTGTTGACTCCAAAACTGTGCAATGACACTCAAACTGCGGGCATATATTTGTTATAGATTTATGGGATATATCGGAAAAAGTATAATCTAAAAGTATGCTCTATAATCTAACGGTAAACAGAGTAACGGGAAAATGCGAAGCTCTTAAATATTATACGTGAGAAGGAACTCGTCTATAAGGTGATAAGCGTAGCGCCGGGTTCTATAAATAAAAATAAAGGCATAGACCGACAGACAGTCCGATTAGTCTCTCTCTATATATATATATATGGAAGTATATATAGTTTAGAATGATCTTGCAAATGGCACGTTAGAAATATTTTCGTGGCGCCTATTAAACGATTTGATGCTTTGAACTTGTTTGGGTTTGGGTGGCTGAGCTCTACGGATGATACTTTGAATGATTTGAGTAGATTATCGCGAATTGATTATATTCGTATTATTCAAATGCTAGACGAAAGGTTAGTGGTTCGAGCCAATGTTTACTGAGATTACTGAAGATTTATAAGGCAAATGTATTCAGAAAACTTAATATCTTAGTTAAGATATCGCAACTTCAAAGACAACTGAATACTTGTTTTCATAATAAATTTAATTTAACACTTCAGCTTGTGCTTGTGCCTGTGTATATATTGTATGCCTATATAGATTTCGGAGGAATATATTATTATCTGACTAGTCTGTCTGTCTGTCTGTCTGTCTGTTTGTATGTCGTCTGACTCTGGCTTCATATTTATTTTTATCACTTCAATTTCCGTTCGCTTACAAGCGCCAAAATGTGTGTGCTTGTGTGTGTGTGTGTGTTGCTCCCCTTCCGTTGCCAGCTGTCTGTACACTGCCCCCCTCCTTCCCCCCTAGAGCACCCGCCCGGCTATTGTCAAAAAGCTTGCCGTAGCTGACGTACGCACGTTCCATTCAAAGTGTGCTAATATCGCAAATTGACAATAGGGCGTCAATAAATGGACCGGCTCTTTCGGTCGCCCTCATCGAAACTCCCGACACACGACGTCCGACGCCCGACTCCCGGCGGGCAGAGAGGTTGCTTTCTGTTTGTGCGTTTCATTTTGAAAATTGGGCAGAAATTAGCATAACATAAGGTCATCCAGAGGCCGTGACGTCAGGCCCTGTTGCTGCAGAAGCCTACCTGTGCAGCATACGCAGGTAATTTTCACGGCGCACAGAAACAGGGACAGACAAACAAACAGATCTATATTTTATATTTTACGACTGGAATTTGCTCGGGGCTTAGCAGAAAAACCCTCAGATGACATTTTGTCAGGCGGCTAGCCGTGAAAATTCTGGCACCTTTGTCGCCCATAAAAAGGATTCTTCAAGTGTGTCGCCCATTGTCGGGCTCTGCTAATGATCCCAGCCAGATAGCACTAAATGGTAAATGAATGCCTCTGAATGGTCCTCTGCGCTGCGAACAGCGGGCAGCTAATTCCATTTGTGCTGCCATTTTCATGCATTCATATTCTTGTGAATTGCCTTAGTTTTCATTTTATTTCATGGCCTGGCATGTATCAGCTTTTGTTTTTCGTCCGATAAGCGATTTGTATTGTAAACCATTATTCCCGTTCCCGTTCCCGTTCCCGGCTCCATTTGGCCAAGTCGAAAGTGGGCTTATCTTATCGTGCGAGGGGGTTGGGTCGCAACCGCAGTCGAATCCCCTTTTCTGTTCGTTGAATGCAAATGCCAAATGCCATTTATTCCGGTATCGGTAAATATATATATCGAAATGGGCGTTGATTAAAATATCAGTTGGATATATGCGTATATGTATTGATTGTGATAAGGAAACGAAGGAACTCAACTGAACTCAATTTAAGGTATATCATATATAGGCTTGTCAGCGCAGGGACCTTAAATAGGGAAATTTGTTCTAATTGCCCAACGACATTTGTATACTCTTTGCACAACTCATAGGCCTTTGTCTACACAAATTGAATAATATCCGGCAACAACAAATATGCGGCCATGACTTGTGGCCAAGTTGGCAAACTGTTAACCCGCCCTGTGTTTACCGTGCGGCAACAAAGTGATTCAATAGTTTCCCTTGCAGTTCATGCCGCTAATTAACCTTGAAATTCAATTAAAACGGGCAATTATGCGGCTCTGTGGTGTCTCTCGCTCGCACACTTCCTCACTCGCTCACTCGCTCTCGCCCTTTGACAGGATTGTGTGCGAGCCAAACTTCATTATGACAGCCGGATGCACTGAGCATAGATGCTGCTATTGCGAAATTCATTTTAATTTAATGCCACTTTGTATGCATTTCTCAGAATTAAAACAATTAAGATGGGGACCAAGTGTCACAGTTATGCGAAAGAGAGCCAATGCTTGCTTGAGTGGATGAGAGAGAGAGAGAGAGGGAGAGCAATTGCACACAGCCAGCACTTGTCAAGTTTCGTTAACTAAGCGCTTCCGTTGCATGAAATTTAATTCAATTATATTTAGCAATGTTTCAAACCCAACAATCAGTAGCATTTACGCTCCTTGACTCTTGTGCGCTCTCTCACTTGCGCTTGTGCTCTCTCCCGTTCTCCCTATGTTAGCCCTAGCGCACGTAAAGTCAACGAACGATGCGTTGCGGTCGTCTTTGCAGCCGCCGACGCTGACGCTGACGCTGACGCAGCCACCGCCGCCGCCGCTTTTATTGGGGAGTTGGAAGTTGAGTTAAAATTATAGACAGCAGCGGCGTCGGAGAACTTGTCTGACTCTTCTTCTTTCATTTTTATAGCCAGGCGGATACAAAGCTGCTCCACTGTTCAGAGTCTGCCTAGTCTGTCCGTCTGCTCGTCTGCCCGTCTGCTCGTCTGCCTGCGACGACTTCTCTCTGCAGCGTCGACCCTTTTATAGAAATTGAACTCGGCTGCTGCGCATGCGCAGCGACGTCGCGTCGTCGCCATAAAAACAACTCTGTGGTATGCATTTCCACGCGTCGTCGTCGCCGCCGCCGCCGCCGCATTCGCATTTTCCCCAACAAGCTCTCCAATACATTCATACATGCATATGCATGTAAGTGTACACACACACATGCACGCATCGATATGTATTTCTCTGCTTGCGGCTCATTGGAGAGTTGTTTGCCTCATTTGTGGACAAGTTGCTTTAATTTTGTTTTTGGGCCTAAGCAATTTTCACAAGTTTTCTACTAGTGGCGCGTTTTCTTGCTTTCCACACACAACACGTGGCATTTGACAGCCCAGCAATACATACAGCCTCCCGCACACACACACACACAAACACACACACACACATACATGCACTCTCTCCCGCAATCGTATTCGTATTTGTATTTCCAAGGCCGTCGCTTGCCTCATTACAATTTGATGATAGTTCATCAGAAGAAGCTGCACACGTCTCCCTTTGCCCCCCTCCCCGTCGCCGTCATCGCCCTCCCTCAAGCTGCCACAACAGCTTTCAACTGGTCTGCCTTCACCGAAAAACGCAAACTGCCAGCAAAGCAGATGCCTTTGGCGTTGGCTCATGTTGCTGTTGGGGCTTTGGGGCTGCGAACTTGCAGCAGGCATCTACATACGTATATCAATATACGTATTCACACAACCATTTATACTATATACATACATAACCTAAAAGTCGCTGGTAAAAATTTAAATTTGTTGCACTGTGTACTGAAAGAGATTGAACCCACTGTCAATTGGTGTAACAGAAAAAAGTCTCCAATGTACAAAAATAAATAACAGTTGTGCGATATCTGAGTAAAACTTACACACATTAAGTCGCATTAAACATGGTTGTTTTGGTTATTATTGATTTTTATTGCCCCGTTCTTCACTTCCACAACTCATAACATTGAAATATAGGTGACCATAATGTTGCCAAAAATAAAGAAGAAAAAGAAAAGCTCTTGATTTTGGACACTGTGTGCCGCTTTTTTTTTGTCGGTTTGTGTTGACACTAAAACACAAACAATAACAGCACAACCAAAAATAACTGCCCACATGCAAAATGGACGTGAACGTGTCCAGATGCAGACAGACAGACAGACGGACGGACCGACAGACAGACAGCATCTCTACGTTGGCGTCTTATTAAGCAATCACACACACACACATGCACATACCAATGAAGGCATGCCTGGCAAGCACTCGAAAAAGCATTTGACAACGTTTTGGAGACACGTTGGACAGCTGGAACGGAACAGTTGGTTAGGTTTGTTGGTCTGTTGGTCGAATTGGAGTCGGCCTACGGCCTGCTCGAAGACAAGAGACAAACATTTTTCTTGTTGTTATTGACGCCGGATTTGGGTCAAAGTTTGTGTGGGTTTTAATTAAGCAGCCGCCTAACGGCGAGACCCACATTGAGCCACCTGCGATGGCGGAGGCTGAGATCAACACACACACGCACACACACACACACACATATGCAGCGCAAATATGTGCAAAAATTGATGATCGACAACAACAACAACAACAACAAAAAAGATGATAAAGACGACAAGCGACTTCCGGTCAAAGCGTTGCGAGGGCGTTTCGTTGGTGTTTTGTGCTGCATACCTCGGCGTTCCTCACATGAATTCAACGGAAGTTTCCAGGGCGTGTGTTGCACAAAACATAAACC